AAGTGCAGGATTTATGACTGTTGAGTAGACCAATGTTTTAAAGCAAATTGCTAAAATTAAGAGTGAGATCTGATTTTGTTTTAAAGAAATAGTGTTAAGATAACTGTGTATAATAGATCAAATATCAGTGTGTTAATATTTTTTGTATATTTGTCAGTTAGATGCTCATTATAGAGAACACATATGTTCCTGACTCCAGGATTTTTCTAATGACACAAGATTTATTTCCCAAAAATTTTTACTGCTTTAGCAGTACTTCCAAGCATTTATTTGACAAAATGGTAATCTTGAGACTTTCCTCAAATTCAGATCCAGTTCTATGAATACTTTCAGCAAAACCCCATCCAAATAGGTGAAAATGTGAAATAGTTACTTTTACACTTTCCAAAAGGAAGCTGCTGTGGGTAAGAAGGAAGGAATGTGTTAGAGATTTTGAACTGTGTTAAATGCAAAGTAAAGTAAAGGTGATGGCCAACTCCTTCCTCTTCCTCTGTCCCTACTTCCCATGTCAGGTTTAGTTTTTTTTCTTTCCCTTGTCTGGAATGAGAAAAGTTGGGCTTGTTTCTCTTGAGAATAGCCTGTTGGGCTATGTAGTGTTTATGGTTGAGAGTATCTCAGTCGTTTGTTTTTAAACTCATTGCTGGAAACTGGGAGATTATCCTGGGGAAGGATGTGTACGTGCTTTTCCTTGCTTGCTGCCCCGAACATCTGCTGTTGGCTGCTCCTGATAGAGGATATCAGCTTAAATGCAGTGTTGGTCTGATCCAGTATGGCTGTTTTTCTATTCCTTCACAGAGAATTAATTATATTCTGGGCCACAAATAAAAAAGACGCTGGTGTGAGGACACTTGTATAAGACAAAGACACAGACTTCTGCTGTAAGTTTGGCACAAAAGATGTTTAATGAACCACTAGAGTCTGGGGACTCTCCACTTATGCTGCTACTGCCCTGGTTTTCCCCATACCCTTTGGCTCTGTAAAAGGTGCCAAAATCATCTCTGGGATGTTCAGTTTCGGAGTTTCTGTCTTCCTGCTTTTTTTCCTCCCCCAGTTAAATATGCTAATAATAGAACAGTTGTTTCTCCTCTCTCCACTGAAGAGAGCAAATAATACATTCATCTTTTACGCCAGCCATCTATATTGCACAGATCTATTTAGATAATATAGATTTGGGGATTGATGCCAATCTTTTTATTTTCTGAGTTTTTTGGTGGGGAAGCAGCACAATTAAATGTTTGAAAATTGCAAACCCTGGTGGGCTTAAATCTTTCTAGGCAATGTGAAACAGACTTAAGCAGAACTATTATTATTAATAATAATAATAATTAGAATGAAGCATACAGAGTAGGATGTATAATAGCATTTTAGGATGTTTCAGTAATCTCAGACTGATTTCTTCCTGGTAAGATGGATTTGGTTCTAATTAGTTGGCACATTTTACTGTTCAAAGTAAAAACCTTTGAAGCAGTGAAAATAGAAATTGGCCTTTGGCAAGTGAAACTGGACCTTGTTCCTACATGTGGAAAAAAGCTTTGCTACTAATCATTGGTAGCTTGAGTCCCCTGTCCTGTGTTCCTTTGAAAATCTGCCTTTGATTGTGATATGCTTGTTCCTCTCCCTAGTATACTTCTGACTAGAAAGTAATTTACCTTAAAAATGGTTCATCAGATTGCCATCAGAAATCACATGAAAGTAAATGAACAGAAGACATAAATACTGTGTTTGGAAAAAAGATTTCACAGACAAGGACACACTCAAGAAGGTCACTTTGGAGTTTCGATTCCAGTTCACGTGCATTACACCATTTCCACAGTAACGTGACGTCTTATGTACTGTAGAGAATTTCCCCTCCCCCCCCCTTAAGTCAAAGCTGTATTTACTGTTTTTAACAATAGATCAGTCTGAGTGCTCATCATAGAAGCTGAGTGGGACTATGAAAATTATTTATATGGCCTCATAGTCTCAGTTGTGCTGAAACAGATGCTAAAATAAGCAGTCTTACAACAGAGATGTTTAAGGCTAAACTAGAAACGTTACCTGAGAGGACAAACTGATCCCACCATGTGAAATACATGGTCACTTTTCTTCTGGTTCAGGAGTTTACTGGGCATTTTCAAGTGAACAAAAAGAAACACTAGTATATGCAACATCCAAAACCATTTTAAAATGTCCTGCTCCTGAAACTACTGAGAATGCACCAAGTTGAATTAGGATGCATTTTGGTGCATGTGTGTGCATTGGTACAGTGTGTGTATATTTATGAAACAAGCAGAAGCTTGAGAACCGTTGTGAAGCTACAGCTGGATTTGAGCTGATTTCCCAGTGCTAAAATGTGGACAAAGAAAAGGACAAGGAAATATGAAGAACAACACTAAAGACAAGGAGCTGACATTTTCATGTTTTGTCCTGAAATGACTCCTTTGAAACCCTAGATGTGAATAAACACCAATGCTGCTTGATTAAACAAAGGCAAAGTCTTCCTCTCTATTTTTTAGTCTGTAAGCAACAGTGAAAAATAGTATTAAAGACGCAAAGCTTTTCAGTATTTTACCCATTGTAGGCACACGTAGGCACTCTTAAATGTCACACACTACGAGAAGATTGCACCGAGGAAGGGAGGAACTGACAAAACTTCCCACAACAGCAAGTGTAGTTATAGTACCACTGTTGGAAACATAGTAATTGTATTTCATAAATGTATCCAGGTCCCTCTTCAAATGGCTAGATATTTGTTATCCTTTGTTTCCTGTTTGGAAAGCATTCCAGAACTGATGTTTCCCCCCAGTGTCTAGTAGCAGTTTGTTAAGGTTCAGGTACAGCTTTGCACTGACACAGCTGAAAAGACAGGCAGGGGATGAAGAGAGGACCCAAGAAAGCCTGACCTGTACAGTTTCAACACATTAAGGTTTTAGGTTTTGCTTGTTGTGTTGTCCTTGGTACTGCCAGTGGGATATTTTCCCCATTATCCTTTGTTTTTAATTTTTATGTGGACCAGCTGTCTGAAATGGGTTGATGCTTGAGTTGTCACTGGTGTATTAGGGGCATTAGCTGCCATTTCTGTTGGACTCTGGTTGTGCTGTGCCTTGTGGGTTTGTTCCTCTGCTGCCTGATCCTGGTGAAAGTGGAAGTTGGTTGAGAGACATTTCAAACCAAAACGATGACTTTAGTTGAGGAAGCGGATTTGAGGCTTTTTCCTTGTGGGAGTTTGTGCTTTCTGACTGAGGCAGTCTTGGGCCAGAGGATTTTGTGAATCCATAGATGTCTGGATCCCTGACCACGGGAATACAATTAATCCCATGCATGTATCCTTCTGACATTTTTCTTCCTTAAGAATTATCTTCCACAAAATAAGCTGCAGAGATTTAAATTTTCTCAGTTGCACACACAAATCTAAGACTTGGCTGAGAATTGAATTTGTATATTTTAAGTCTCTGGCTGTCAGCCTTCTCTTTGTACTGTTGCTCATATTGCTTGTAGTTGGAGACATTCCTTTCATTTCTACTCCAAGAGGATGATTGCCCTTTGATGCAGTCATCAATGAAATAATTCCTCTGTATTCAGCTGATTGGAAGGTGTTCTCCCAAGGTTATTTTTAGAAATCACTGAATATACAATGAGGGAATTCACTTCATGTACTCCCATCCAAACAGGTGACTAATCTAACCTTGGAGATCACACTAGATACAGACTTGTAGTAGATGGAATTCAAATTGCTGAAGAGAGTGAACAGATCTGGCATGGCTTTTATGGGCTTGCTTAGATTGTTTTATTTTCCCCTTCCTCTGTACTTCAGAATTCCAGGTGAAAAGGCCTGTGCACTTTTCCTGCTGATATATTTCAGGTCTGAACTATAAAGATGCTGGAGGTAAAACCTCCAATGGATATAGCAGTACCATGACACTGTAACCATTAATGTTAAGGCATGGTCTGAATTGGTTGGTTTGCATACCATGGAATGCTGTGAAGATTTTGTTCAGCTATTTGTGGTCTAAATAGATTCAGTTTAAGAATACTCACAGAATCAGGGGGCTTAATATTTCTTTTTTAATTCACTGTGTTAAAATAATTGGATAGACTCCTGGGGGCTGACTTTTCTGCATAAAACAATGGTTTGTCACATGTGTAGCTGCTGCGATTTGTTGAAATGTTTTGAATGAAAACTGGAATAAATTTGGTAGGTTTTCTTTGCTTTATCATCTATCATGGTAAACATCTCTTGGCATAATACAATTTGTAGTGTTCAGTATTGTTTTTCAGTGGGGTCTAAAGATACCCCATCTCTGAAACATATATTTTCTTCAAGTTTCACAACTTTTAAAAAAAATTAATTTGTATAACCGTCATTCTGCTTCTCCCTTCTGGAACAATTGCCCATTTTTGAGTGTGCTCCTATTTCACTTCAGTAAGCAAAATGATTACCTGCTTTTACTTCTTTCTTTGAAACAAATTGATTGTAAGTGCTTGAGCATTCTGGACAAGATTTAAACTCGAATTTTATATAGTGTTGGGGAAAGCTTAGCCTAGTTAAACTGTGTGAACGATATTTGAGAGATGTGCAATTTATTTTGCTCAGCATAACAGATAGAAAGTTCATGTAGTTGAGAAAGCAATTAACTAAATTATCCAGGAAAACTGAAATTAAATTCCACTTTCAATATTCTGCCTAAGGAAGTGATATGTCTCATTTCTTCAGCAACATCAGAATATATGATGGGTGAGAACTGTTTTAAGCTTCTTTAATAATTTAGCATGGAAAGATGATACTGTGTAAATTGTTTCCTGCTGAGTTTACATGATGCTGGTCCCCAGCCAAAGATGGAGTGGGTGTTTTTTGGGCAAGGGGACAGAATAGGTTGTATGGATAGGGGTGGAAGCAAATAGCAAGTAATTTATTAATTATGGAAATAAAGATAACTATGTAATAGTTGTAACTACAGCAGGTTTCCAGGGTAGAAATTTGCCAGAGGACAATCCACTATTACATTTTTCTCTTTTTTTAGGCTCTGGATGTTGACCGAACTGTTCTCTATAAAATGAAGAAATCTGTCAAAGCCATAAACTTATCTGGTCTGGGTAAGTACATAATTCCTATTAGTTTGTATTGGTGAAATTAGAAGATTTAAACAGTCAGATGTCATACTGAATCAGAAAGAGGTAACTCTGAGAAGAGAGATATGTGCATTTTAAATGGCAATCCTGAACTAGTTGTTTGATCATGAACTCAGTAAGGATGAGATGTTGTGGGGTAGTTAAACCTCTCTTGCTGCCATGCTGGTACCAGGTGGTAAAGCTGTGCTCTCCTCTTTCCACTGGGTGTGGGCTCCTTGCTCCTTCTGTCACGCTTGCTGCTTGGCAGATCCCTAGATGAGTTTTTAAGCTTGTATAAAGCTGCATATGCAGTGAGATCAACTTAATTGGGATTAGATGAGCACCTGAAGTGGTAGGGCCATGTGTATCATCAAGGCAGTGGGGGGTGAAATTACTCTTTGGCAGCAATAAGAAGCTACATTGGCTCTACTGCTTTGTGAAACTTCAGTCTCCCTGGTGGCTTCCACTTATGTATGTTGAGAACTTCATGACAAGATGAAGCTGATGAGATGCAACTTTTTATTGTCATGATGTAAAAAGTCAGATGTTTTTCACACAATGCTGTATAAAATATAAAGAACTATTGCTGCATGCATTTTTAAATGTATGCCAATCTCTTAGAATTGTGTATGTTGATCTTCTGTGAAAAAATAATTGAAGCTTTTGTTTTTGTGGATCAGCAGCATTTTGTGAATAAGAAATAGCATTTGTTTTTGCGGATAAGAAAAGGCATTTGGTTGGCTTTTGTTCTCATTGTGCAGTTCATAGCAAGTAGAGATAACAAAACCTATATTAAATGCAGAATAGATAGGCCTGTCAACCTTGGAGAGCCACCGGTACTTGACAGAACTTGTGGCCATGTTGGTGTTCAGACAAGGTTGGAACAAGAGCTGCTGTTGTGGTATAATTCATCTCCAGTAATTGAAAGGAAGTTCCTTGTTGAATGTAATAAAGCTGTTATCTTTGGATTGTGGAGGGTTCAGTTTAAGATTCATTAGGAGCTGTTTCATTGATTTGGCATCCTTTCTTCTCTTCTTTTTCTTGCTTGGCTGGGTTTTTTTGGCTTTTGAGTTTTTAAAAAAAAAATATTCTAGAGTGCTTGACTATGCCTCATAATCAGAGTACCTGTTAGAACATTGTTGCAAATCACTAGTCTTTGCATAAAACCAGTACCTTGCCCACATTTTAAATTTGTGCTGCCCACGCAATCTTGACAAGAAAGGTTTGGAGGCTTTTATCTTCCACCAGCAGAACCATCACTAACCAAGCCACTTGTCAGCCCCTGGGGTTTCTTTTAACAAAACAAAGCCCATGGTCCTACACTCAGAAGAGCGCAGTGACTGGATTTTTAGCATAGGTTCCCTAAATAGTTAATAATGTTATAATAAAATAATGTTTTGTCTTTTTTATTAAGGCTTACATAGTGACTCCCAGTTTGTACATAGCTTGGGTTTTTACTTAAAGAAAGCCTATAAACCCTCAAAACTGGATCAGATTTCTTTTTTTTATTTCATACCTTTTATTTGTAGAGAAACTTTTAAAATTTGTCAGGAAAACACCATAGGACAGGAAGAGTATTTTGGAGGGTTCCATCAGAAAAGTAGATTTTTGTGTTCTTCAGAAGCATTTGGGGGGTATCAGCTCAGTTACTAGTACTGTTGCAATAAACTGCCATCAGCATTCTGGGGAATGTCTCAGAATCCAGAACAGTCCCCAGGATGCTGGGGAATAGAAGACTCCTGGGGATGCTGTGTGGAATGGGTGCCGTGCTTGTTTCCTAAGGTAAAAAGTCTGCATGGCTCAGCTACTGGTTGCACATCTAACCATAACACCTAATGGTAGCAGCCTTTTCACCTTGCTTTCATGCAGGGGCACCTTGCTCTTTTTGCTGTAGGAATTGTGGCCTGACCTCTTCTCTCACCTGGGTTCATGTAAGCTAAGCTGGATGCAGGAAGCAGCAAAAATGCAGAAAGCAGTGTGGAAATAATTCACTTTACTGGGTAGATGTGAGATCTAAAGGAGCTGTGACCTGCCACATCCTCATTTTTGCTGCCTGTGCCAGTTCATTGGAAGCTTGTTCAGGTGTATATATGTCACACAATAGAATTAGTTGAGCATCCTTACTTCATCCTACAGCAAAAATTTTGGTAAGTGCTCAGCCCTTGCTGTTGATGCTGAGGAAAATAAGTAACTTTCAGTGCTAATACTCAGTTTTTAAATTTAATAGCTATCTGCAAACTATCTGTCACAGGCTGCAAATTCAAGTGCTCAAGCTAAAGACTTGTAGAATTAATGCTGTTTGTGTAACACCCATTCTGTACATTATGTCAGTCTTTAATTACATGGTGTTATACCACTACAGCATAGGGTTTTAGTTTCATATATTGGAAATTAGATAAAATTTTTTGCTTTTTGAGAAAAAAAGTTCTTGAATGGTGTTCCAGATAGGACACATGAACAGACAGGTTTGTTTTTAGTCTGGAGCATGATAAGTTTATTGAACAGGTTATATAACCAATTCACTGAAATTTGGAAAAGGACAGTATACCAAAAATCCTTTGGATATTAAGTGTATTTATGTGTAAAAATGGGCTTGAAATGAAACGGAATCATTGCTTGTTTAAACAGATTAATCCTCTCTAAATAATCTTCAGGATTTATGCTGGTCTCATATAATGAACAAGACAGTCTTTGTCCTTATTAATGCATAATTTGTTTTCTAGGGTGTGGAGTTTGTGTTTTTTTTCCCTGACTTCCTTTGAAGCTTTAGAAATTGTCCACAGCTAGAATAAGAAATAGGCAATGTTAGCTTTCTCAGGTGCCAACTTTGTGTGCTTTGTCCACATGCTCAAGCATGACATGGTCACTAAACTCGAGTTCAGGAAAACTTTCTGTTTTCTTCCACAGGTCAAATTGACTTTTGACAAAGGGACTTTTTATGCCTGTCTATATAGGCAAGTAACCTGGTGACTTGGGCAAAGTAGTTAAGACTCTCAGATTTCCTTTATACTTGAATTTATTTTATGCCTGGATTTCCTCTCATGTCCTGGGCTGAATAACCCCCCAACATGTACAGCTCAAAGCTTTCTGAACATTGATGTTAGATGTGTGCTGCTTTAATTGTCCTGGTGTAGCCCAGGACCACTGGATGACTTCTGGGGCAAAGCTTCTGGTTTTGTTGTTTCAGAAGGGAGTCTGGTTGTCATGAACCAGAACTGCTTTCAGAACTGAGCTGGCCTGTGGTAAATGCAGATTGCAAGGATTTGCTTCAGAACCCCACTGCTGCCCTGAATTGGAGAACTAACATAGATGTGGTTTTGTCCTCTGTAACATGTTTTGTAGTCCTTTTTCCTAGGATAACCCAAGAATATTTGATCTATTGCTTTCTGTGGTAGCGATCCAAGACTCTGCCAGCACACTTTAGCTCCTCTGCTTCTTTTTCAGCACACGGTAGAACATAATAGCACACAGTTAAAATAAGAAAGTGTTAATAAAATATTAAAATCTAAAAGTTCATTATAGGAGTTGGGAGTTGTTGTGATGTCTCTGTATATGGTGCAGAAGTATTATTTCTGGCTCTTTCTAGGGTGTCAGATGTTTGTCTTGTCTTGGCACGTTGTCATTTTTACATGTGAATGGGTACATGCAAACCAGAATGAGGTATGTCATACTTCTGGCATATCAGTGTTAAAGTGTAAATAATGACTGGTTTTTGTATCGAGTAAACATTTTTAGCAATAACTCTGGAAAGCTTTTTTTTTAAAGCCCCATAAATTGTGATTTCAATAACCTTTTATCTGACGATGATATCTTTGTGTTTTGCTCTTTTTGAAGCTCATGTGGAAAATGAAGAACAGTATACACAAGCACTGGAGAAGTTTGGTGGCAACTGTGTTTGCAGGGATGACCCAGATTTGGGAACAGCGTTTTTAAAATTTTCTGTGTTTACAAAGGAATTAACTGCACTCTTCAAAAATTTGGTAAGAATTACTTAAGAAAAACATGTTGGAATTTTAAAGCCAAAGGCTGTATTTTGGAATTATAACAGCTCTTCATATTGAAGAGAATTTGTGTTTTAGCAACCACTGTTCTTAAAAAATTCTCAGCTTATGAAAACATCTCATGTGCTAGGTTTTCCCCTTGCTGAAGTCAAAACTCAACCCAAACCAAAGAAACCATAAAAGACACCACCACAACATAAAACCACAACAAATCCCCCTCTTCCAACATTTCTCACACCTAAAAGCTTCCCACAATAAGTAGTTATAACATGCATTATAAAACACACATCTCAATTTGCTTTAAATTGTGAAACCAGCAAAACCCAACTTGATATACTGTGTGATCACAATGTTTTACTTTACTTTCCCACTTTCCATTTGTATTTGTGAAGGGAGATTTTAGTGGCCCTGGCAGAAAATATTTTTGCTTCTCAGGGAAGTGAGTCAGGGAAACAAAAATCAAGCAAAATGCTAAAACAACAGTAGCGTCCATTGGGGACCAATGCTACAGCTGAAGCCAGTAAGTCTTAAAAGCCTCTTTGGTGAGCCAAATGGGATGGAGCCAAATGGAAGAACTGGATTTTTAATTATAAATGGAGAATTTTCAGCCTCAATTTCACATTAATCAGAGGGTGCAAAAAGGGCAGATTCAGATTACATCCTACGAGCTAGAGCTCTCCCCTATCTTAAGTACCAAATTTACTTGAATTCACAGAACTCTTATACCAGGGGCTAGGAAAGGGAAATGACCCAGATTCCCAGGAGCATTTAAAAGTCTTTGTCTGCTGAAATCAATGGCATGAAGACACATCAAATGCTTTTGTGAGTCTAGACCAAATGTCGGTAGTTTGCAGCCAGCTGGTCATAATCACTTCTTTGGGGAATGTTTCCAGCTGATGGGATTTAGACCAGTTCCATTCACTCTCTGATGTTGTCCTGTCTTTTTACCCAATCATGACACTGATGAATATAGCCACAAATGTATTTGTCAACAATGAAATGTATTGCATATTGGTTATATTGATTTGAACTTCTCTGGATGTGCAAATACTATCTGAGATTATGTATCAGAAGAGGCATCCTGATTCAGTGTGAGTCAGTTATCCCAAATCTCTCATACAGAGGCAGGCAGCTCCTATGGAAAGGAAAATTGAATGGGTCTTCTAATTGATACCTTCTGTTGACTAAAACCCCCTCTCTATCATATATTAATTGCAGTATGATGAATTCATTATGCAAATGGATCTGGGAAATGTGATGTTTAAGTGGTTTTAAAAAGCAATCTGCTAAAAGCTACACCCCCTCCTCAGAAAAATCTTTCAATGTATTACATTTCAAGAACACTTCTGAAGGCTGGAAGGTGTTGCTTTTTTACCAAAAATCTTAGCTATTTGTTCTCTTAAAACCAGAAACTACTATCTTTGCAAAATGTTTCTCATAATAATAATTTTTCTTCCACACTTTGGAAAGGAAAACCACAAAATAAGTATCTATGGGAAGTTGGAATGCATGTTTTTGTTACCTCTTGTTATCTACCTAAGTGTTTTGTGTGTCTTCTCCAAGGAATATTTGTAGGGTTTTTTGCTGTGTATTGTTTTTTTTTTAGTAGCAGCTATGTCCTTTTGCTTCAGTTTGTGTGTATAAGAAGAGGCTCTGTCATAAGAGAGTAGCTAAGTCTGTAGTTTTTCTCAGTTTTGTGGTTCTTATTTACTATGTTTTTGAAGGGAAGAATAATTTTGCATAGGCATGAATGCAATTTCTTTTTTTTAATATTGCAGTAGCATAGGCACCTTCTCTCTTTATTACTGTCTGGTGAAGAGCAGGTCTCTGTAAAGTTCTGCTCCTTCCTAATATGTCTCATATTTTTGAGGTTTGAAGCTTTTTGTTTTTTCCTGACTAGCAAAGGAAACCTTGAATTTGGTGTCTCAATAGGAAAATAGTTTCCTCCAGAAAGAAATACATATGAAAAAAAAGACATGAACTTCATTATTGTTTGTATCTGCCACATTTATGAAAAAGAAATCTGGAATAATGAAAAATTATAGCCTTATATAGCTTTGCCTATTAGAAGTTAATGCCACTAGAAAAAATTTTTAGTAACTGGTCACTTTGAAAATCTTTTCATAAATTCAGTGTTTGAGGTCCAGTTTTCTAGAAGGTTAAAAGGGTATTGACCAGTATAAAAATTTCTACAGGAAATTTGGGGTGTATTTTGTTTAAGTTATAGCCATATGTGCATTCTCATAATGAGGTGATGTGTCCAACTCTGAATGCTCTCATCATAATGATATTAAAAGCATTCTTCTCTTCTGGTGTTTCCTTGTAGCACTCCACATGTTTTGGTTGTAAATATTTTCATCAGAAATGTAGCTGGGGCCATGCAACCTGCTACTGTTGAAAAAACATTCTGAAAGGTACTCTTTAAATAGACCTATCTCTGGAGTTTCACACGGTGCTGAATTTCCACAGAAGATTTTAACTGAAGTGGATGGGGAATGTGCAAGGAAGTGAGAGGACATGTTCAGACTGGAACAGATGCCAAAGCTATTAACACTGGCAAGGCTTTAGGGCTACTGTCAAGTTTTGCTTTGTCATATATTTTACTTTTGTTTCTAGAGGCTGATGTGTTCTGTCAGCTCTTGGCCTGGACGGCATTTAGAGCTGTAGCTCTACAGTGCTTCAGCACACAGATTTTCCTTAAACTTAAACAAGGTAGAGGAAAGCCATTATAAAGCTGTTCTGCTTTAACTGGAGTTTCAGGTGCTTGCTTTCCCTAACAATTTTTAAAGTTTCCCAAAAGGCTTTGAAGTTTTTATGGCCTTATCAAGGCATCAGTGTTTTAAATTATTTCAATAACAGCTGAAGTGTTTTTGTTTTTAATCCTAAAACCTGCATATTTACTATTCAAGTTAAGGTTTAGGTCTTGAGGTTTTTATAAGTTTGCTATGCTGCTTTCATGTGTGCACTTTCAAATAGTGCATAAAATTTAAAAAAAAACCACCCCAACCTTTGTAGTTTTTCTTCACTTTTGAAGGGATTTATAAATGCATCTTCAAGAAGTGAATTTGTATTTAATGTGTACAAGATCCTTGTAACCACTCATTTTAGCCATTCTACCCCAGTTTGCATTATTTGGATCACTTTGTGATACATACTGTGCAACTATTTTCTCTTGCCAAATCTCTGATATAAACTTAAAAGGTTTTTTTTCAACTTCTTTTTTTTTTAAGAAGATTGAGCAATCAGTTTGTCTTTTTGGTAGTGAGAGATCTGAAAATACTAGATGCCATTTTCAGAGATAACATACTACATTTAGTGGCAAGCACAATACTGCTTGTTGATGGCAACCTAATTCCTAATAGACTTGGACCACCCACTAGAGTAGGAGGTGCTCCCAGCTGGGTAAGGTCTGTATGGTACTTGCTTATAGTGTTAATTATTATTCCTTCTTAGGTATAGTGCCAAGGGATAAAGGTGTGAGTCTTCATATGAAAAATGTTAGGACAAGGAAAGGCTCATTGCAATATGTTTGCATTTTAAATATTTTCTCCTTTAAATCCTATTAAATTGCTGCACTGAGAAGAAATAAACTCTAGCTGTGCATTTTTGTCAACAGTCCTTGAAATGGGGTTTGATCTGTGAAAATGAAGTAGCTATTTAACAAGTACCATTTTCTCTATTTGTTGCTGTTATACTTACTTTTTTCCTTTATTTTTCATTTATATAAATTTAAAGATAATTAAACAAGCTGCATTGAGAGGAGTGGATCTGATATTTCCACTCTGTGGAAGATAGCTGGAACTAAGAGATTCTAATTTTTATTAATAATCCTTGGAGTTTTAGTCAGAAAAAATGGAAGAACAGCAGTGGTATTTTTCTGACCATATGCTCTCGCTTTACTTACTTTTTTAAATGTAAGAAGAAAGAAAATTTGCTTAACTGTAAAAGGTAACGGCAAAACTGAAGGAATTATCTTTTCTGTATTGTGTAATGAACTAAAAAAATTTATGCCCAGAATTTTCTTTGTTTAGACCAAGGCGTTAAAACACAATGTTTGATGCCTGAACCTTCGCAAACATATTTTTGTTTACAAGGACTTGCTGAAGTACATGAGAAAACTCTACAGGTGTACATGTTTGAGATTGGAGTATTATATGTGGAGCTTAATGATTTAGGTTGTGAGCTTTCAGTTTTTCACCAGTACACCTGAGGAAAACTTGGCTAACAGTGTGAGTTAAAAAAAGGGTACTCTTTGATTTATGCTTGTGGAGATATAAACCAAGATGTAATAATGGATTCAGCTCCACCTGGAGTCAAATCTTTATTTTTTTGCCAAAGGGTATTGATCCAACTGGAGGAAATTCAGAGGACAGTAATAAAACATTATTAGGGCTTCAATAGCTAGATTTATGAAGAAAGTTTAGAAGAATGTTTACTTCACAGATAACTCTTGATTGTGGAGGAGGAAAATAATAAATTGTGTATAAATGGAATCTCACTCTGAAAATATTAGGTGAAGCGTCCCAGAGGAAGTGATAGAAGCCTACCACTTAGGTCTTTCAACCTAGGTTAGAAAATGTGCACTCTGGAGTTCTCCACTGGCAAGGAAGAAGGGCTAGAATAACCCCAAGCTTCTTCCTTCCTTTTCTTTTGCAGCTCTTCTTTTTATGCTTTTCAGATTTCCTGTGAAATACTTCCTAATAGAGAAGTTTCCAGTCTGTAGTTTGCATATTGGTGCTAATCATGGGGCTGATTCTGAGTAGTCCATGGTGGCTACACTTGGTATCTTGTGTGAAGGCATTTTTCTAGGCAGCTGTGCCAGCAGCTCCATGTGGGCACTTAGTGGTGCTCAGCTCCTGTTCTTCTGGAGTCATTTTCCCTGTGGCATAGTGGGTGGTGGGTGATGTCCCAGCTCAGCCACATGCTGCAGGGGAAAGGAGGTGAGGACAGAGGAAGGACAGCACTGTGTCCTTGTATGCGAGGGGAAGACATAGTGCAAAGATGAAAGTTTGTGCCACCAGTCTTTGTTACACATTTTTCTGAAGTTTTGGGGATAGATGCTAAATCTTAAAGTTCAGACAAACAGTGTTTCATCTGTACAGTGCTCATCAGAGCATCTGTGGATGCTCTGATTTCCACTTTCTCCCTGCTGTGTTGATTGGCCTTGTCCTACTAAAGCTCATGTCACTAGGAAAATTATTGGAAACTATTAAATCCAATAGCACTTGCCATAAAAAATAGAAAATAACTTAAATAATGATTTGTCAGCCGGCAGTACTGCCATCACCTGCACACACACAAGCTCACTGATGGTTGAGAAGCCCACAGCCAAGTACACAGACTGCATCTAAGGTTTAGTAATGGCAATAGGAGACATACTGCTCAACTGCCTGCATTTTAGTTTAAACTGAAAAAGTTTTAAGTTCTGCATGTTAAGACAAGTATTTAACTTCTGAAGTATACTGAAAAGGCTTTTTTTTCCTTTTTGCTTGGATTTAGCAGACAAAATCTACAGAAGTACTATGGGCACCAGTATACAAAGCTTTTATGGAAAAGAGCTTTATGTTAAAGTAATCAGGAGGGCTGGCAAATGAGGGCTGGCAGTGAGTTTAAATGTTTAACCATAGGCCTTTAAACCACTTGAACAACTCTCCCCTTTACAAATGCTGGCTTGCTTGTTGCCTCTACCAGCACTTCTGGCAGCTATGTGTTTTGTTTATGTGCTCTCTCCCCTGCCACTTCTTCTCTGAGCCTTCTCCAGCTTAGGAAGTTTTAATTTTTTACACTGTCATCTTGTTGGAAACTGTCAGAGGAAAACTGCAAGTGCCAAAGCAGCAAAGTTGGAAGTGGAAACAAGGTCAAATTTTTTTTTTTCCTTTCTTTGTTTTTTAACCATGTGAAATTTGCTGGTGTTCCTCTGAGACGGGATGATGTTAATTTCTGTAAAGCTTTCTTGCATCTTGGTGTATTTTTTTAAAGCTCATTTTAAAACATAAAGTCATCAAAATGTAGAGTCCATTGCATATGTTCTAGCTCCTTGTGCTCTGCACACAGAGTAGGAGCTGCACATATTAGTGCTTCTCTGTATGCCAAAAATGGGTCTATATTTTTAGATAGTTCAGCTTATGCTTCTCAAGAAAGAGAGCAAAAACATGTAAGATCTTTCATCTGTATATTGCTTGCTGACTTATAAATATGAGGGAGTATGATTCATCTAACTGGGTTAATAATGACAAGTTCATGCATTATGTATGTTTAGTTTTGTTACAAATAGAATAGGAGCATTGGGAATACAATAGACTGATGGTAATGTACAGGTGATAGCACACAGAAGGAATTAATTTGAATAGGCAAACATTCTCTAAACTTTTTAAAAAAATGTAGAGGTTTTGTCCTGTTTTTTTGGTTTTGTTTTTGTTTTTTTTTTTAAAGTTGCTTTGGACTCCAGGCCTCATGGTGTGAAATTCAAGCAAATATCCATAACTATTTTGGAGTCTGATTATTGTTTACACATGAGTATGTTTGGGATAATACTTCAGATGGTTTATTTTTTTATGGCTTGAAGAAAAATCAGTTGTCTTGAGTCTGCTGTTGAGAAATGCTTTCTTCTTTATTCCTGTCTACTGAATTTGAAGAATAATTAAATGTGAAAGTATTAATCCTTAAGTTAGACACTTGACTACATCATACTCATAAAATAGAATAACAAAGTAGAAAACCTCATGTGGGAAACTATCTTGAAAGAGACCTCTTTTCCACCTGAATAACCATTCTGGATGTGCACTTGCAGCTTCTAGAAGTTTTGGGGTTTTTTAATGTAGGTATTGTGCAGTTTAAACCTTTGCACTTATCCCCTGTATCTGTGACCTAATTTTGTTACCTTTGGGAGTGGTTGTGCTGATACATGAATGAGGTAGTACTGCTGAGGTCTGGGGGGTGGATGGTCTCCAGCACTGCCAGCTAAGCATGTGTGCATGCTGCTAATTCAATTTTTACAGGAAGTACTTAAGAAAAATGGCCCCAGTACAGAGCTGAAATATAACTTGTTTATTCTGAAGGGCTGTGACTGGGTCCTGCAGCTTGTTGGGCAGGAGAAAAAGTAGGGTGGAGGAGGGGAAATATGATTTGTGTTAAGAGTTTGAAAGACCAGATTTTCTGTGTTTCTTTAGCTTTTTCATGCAGAGACAATCTGTGTAACCATTAAAACTGATGAAGATTCACTTTGACTGGTGGCTGAAATTTCAAGTAAAAGCAGTAAGGTAGTTTCTTTGACGAGGAAAGGTGGGGACAGTGGGGCTTTGCTGGTTTGTTTTAACAACAACTGTTATGTATCATGGACTCTGTTCTAGTGAGGCCACCAAGTAACTACAGGGTGATAATGTTTTGTATTTTACAATTCTGGGTAGACTGAAGCATCCATAATTGGAAATATTTCTTCCTTGAAATTTTAGTATTCTTTCACCTCTGGATGGGTTACACTAAAGGGGACTTTGATTCCCCTGAAATAATTCCTGAAGAAATAAAAGCATTTGTTCCTACATGACGCAAAGTTCTTTCTGTAACTGGAACATTTGAAATCCATCTTCATGTCAGGATTTCAGAGCTTCTTGAAAAAAAATCCCATTTTAAAAAAACACTGTAAAATACCAAAAAAAGAAGTAACTCATGCAAGGGCAGCTTTCAATGAACTGCTGCAAAATTTATTCTGATTTTTTTTGTGTTTGTGTTATTCTAAAGTATTTTGGGGGTTGCTCCTCAGAGCAACAAATCCTTTTGAATAGTTACAGTTTAAACTCTCTGCCTAGATATTATGATCCATACCTTGAATGTTTTCCCTGAATCATAAAGGAGTTGATATACAATCTTTTCCTAGCTGTCTTATTCCTACAGTCTTTCTTGGTTCTTTTTACTTCCTAAAATATTATCATACAAATACTTAACAAAAACCGTGATTATTTTACCACTGTCTTAATTTGAAATAATTTTATCTTCTTGAAGTACTTATTTTCTCTTGAATTACTTACATACTAAAGACTTCATTAAATTCTTATTTCAAAGTTTGCGTGAGATAAATAAGGCAGATGTATTGCTTTTTAAAAACAAATGGAAAATATTGGAATGGTGGCTATTTTACAGGCCAGCATTTTTTGTCTTTATAACTTCTGTCAGAGTAAAATGCCATGTATTGGGAGAGTAGCAAATGTGCTTTATGGAATAGGTCTGAAGAGGCTGGAAAGTAAAAAAGGTTAATGTAAAATATGCTCATGAACTTAAAATTATCAGTGCTTAGAAATTAAATGGTTCTTTTCATAGAATTTAAATGGGGAAATAAGGCAATGTAAAAATTAGTGGTCTTATTTTGCAGACACTGTGGGATGAGATATTTATAATCAGGAGTAGTTCTGGAGGTTTCCTGCTGGTTTGGGTTATAGTGTTTCCAGAGTGAGTTTAATTAACTTGTGTTGCTTCCATCTTTGATTACTGGCTATGCTGATAAACATCTCCATAAGGCAGGGACAGGAAAATAATATGTAATATTTCCTTGTGAAACTTTCTGAAATGTGTGTATTAAGACAGTTTATGTTCTGTGTCTAAATATATTAACTGATTTGGTGTAATTTTCTTGTTACAGATTCAGAATATGAACAACATAATCACTTTTCCATTGGACAGTTTGCTGAAGGGAGACCTGAAGGGAGTGAAAGGGGTATGTCTTTCCTCCTATTAATATATAGGACTGTTGTTGGTACAGTAGATACATTTAGCAAGTGTATTGATCTTATGTGTTGGAAGGTGTAGGATTCTCAAGAAATGTATTAGCTCAATAAACAGAACTTTGGGGTTTTTGTTTGTATTTTGAGGGTTTTTTTGTGAATCAAGTCATCCTTTCTGTTTGTGGATTCACATACCTCATGTTCTTGAGTATGTATACAAAACAACATTTGAGAAGCTTTAAAAGCAGGTCTGAGATACAGAAGATAAGCAGAGAAAGAGGTGTAAGATTCATATATTTACTTAGTTGCATTAAGGGTAGTACTGTATTTTTAAGGATTTTTAGCATTCTAAACTTACCTGGAACTATTAAGAAACACACATGAGAGTGTATGAGCATATTTTTTTTAAAGAAGCTGAAATCTCTTTGTTTATGGCCCAAGGACATTTCCTATTTGAAATAACAGCAACTTAAGACTCAAATGATGATATGTTTATGATAAATTTCAGAGCCTATGGCGGGCAAACTTACTTGGCTTTTGCTTTGTTTAGTAGTGAGCAAACAGGAAGTGACTGGCAGCTATTGTTCTAGGACATCGAAGGAAGAAGAAAAATGTGTACATAGACTAAAAATGGCTTCTGTAAATTACTGGAGGATAAATAGATTATTTATATTATCTTTGTGTTGTTTGCTTACCACATTTCACTCATGTTTTTCTCTATGTCAGAATAAATACATTTATTACAATACAGTGCTTCCCCTCTGCCTTGAGAATATAATCAAATGCTACTTCAGTTAATTTAATAATTGGCTCAATAATTAATTAACATGTAAGAATTAGTTCCTAATCTGTAGTTGGAAAGTTTTCCAGCGTCTGACAGTTGTAGTTGTCTGTTCTCTTGAACTTCATCAAAATTTCAGCTCTTGCATTTTTAGGCATCAGTGAAATAACTTTACAACTTGTTAAGATAATTTTATCCAAATTACCTTATTTAGAGGAAAGAAGATAAAGGCATTTGGAATAAAAGTAATTCAGAATTCTCACGGAATTAGTTATGCTGAGCCATAAGGTCTATACTGTTCCCATTAAGTCAGTGAAAAATCAAATTTTTTAAACTTCAGTGTGATGAATCAAGTTCTTAGCCAAGGCTATACTGCAGCCTTGGGACAGGGACTTTTTACCAGAAGAGGCAGAGATAGAATGATGAGAAAGTAGTTACTTGGATTAATTGCACAGCGTGGTCTTGGGACAGCATGTTGGTATACTTTTTAAGGAGTAAAATGGAGCAATAAAAATCATAGTAAAGAGCATCTTAGAGATGCTTTTAAAAACATGAGTGTATTAATTCTCTGTACAATTCAGTACAATTATTCTATGTGCGAGATTGCTTTTGCACTCCCCTTAGAAGAAAGAGTGAAGTCCCTTATTCTAGTAGGCACTGCAAGGGTCCAAGGTGTGTCTTCATTGTTAGAGCCACAGTATTTTTCATGTAAATAGCTGGCTGTTATTTTTTCTCTTTTCTTGACAGGACCTGAAAAAACCCTTTGATAAAGCTTGGAAGGACTATGAAACAAAAGTGTATGTATCTTTTAAACTTTTATTTAAGAGCGAAATGTAACTGAAATCTGTAGAGGTTAATAATGCTTAATGCTGAGGTTGGATGCTCTCAGCAGCTGCAGCATGTACTAGAAGTGGATGTACACCTATCTGAGGCTGGGGAGTTGTGTCTTATGTTCTGGATCTAACCTCACTTAGCATAAGCCACTTGTTTGGAGTTACCAGATACACTGTTTAAACAAACAGCAATAAAATAAGTTTATAAAAACTGGAATTTTATATCTAGCTAAATAAATTGAATGAGTCAACAAAGCTCAACACCTAATATCAAACACAATTTATTTCTGGTTCCTAGTAAATCTTAAGTGGTTCAGTGTCCTGCATCAGGGACAGTTGTTTCCAAGGCTGGCCAGGTTAATTGTATTAGTACAGGTGACAGTCTCTGAAGTAGAATTTTGTAGTGAGTTTTATTCCACATTACAGTATTACCTGGATTGACTATCAGTTTTGTGTCACATGTCCAGTGTCTTTGTTCTTCTGAAATAATGCTGCCTTGCATCAGACCATCTCTGATGATACAGGTCCAGAAGAATCAAGTATGATGACACTATTTAACATAAATAACTTGGAGATCCACAGTCAACTAGTCTGGCTGAAAATCTAGCAACATTTATGTTGTTTTTTTTTTTTAATTGCACAAAGTTACAATGATTCTCTGGTGCCTACTTAGTTAGTCTGTTTGAAGTCTTCAAAAATTATTCCTGTAACTGGTTTACCCACAAAAGCAACCAGTTAGCTAAATTTCATTATTCCTTTTGTGAATAACAATGAGAACGTTCCAGTTATTGCTTTCTAGCATCAAATTGTGAGGAAGACCTCTGTGGCTTTTGGTTTTTGAAACTGCCTGGATTTTCATAAAAGGACATTCTGAAATATTGCGATAAACCTCTGGTCTGACACTCTAAATCCACAGAAGATTGTGTTCACTCCAATGTTTTATGGTCCTGACACTGGTAAGCAGTGTCATTTGGTGCATACCAGTTATTGACTATTGAAGTAATTAAGATTTCTAATCATTGCCTATGGCAGTAGTTGATCTCTGAGGACAGGCCTTAAATAATAGTCCTATATTTTAGTCTGCTGCTGTCTAGCACTGCTTGATTGCTGGATCTGGAAGCTTGTTTACTTGTGTGTTACTATTCATACTGACAACCCACAAAGTTTATGTGCAGAATTTGAAATAAATTTGTGCACTGCTGGGACATACACCAAGAGGAATGTTACTACTGGACCAAGACCTCCAGTGCTTTTAGATTTCTGATCTAATATTCACTAGGATGAGTGTGTTGAAGTGATGTAAATCATTTGTACTTGATCAGAGCTGGCATTTCAGAGTCAGATATACCAGAAATATTTTCAGTTGTTATTTAATTTAATTAAATACTTGAGAAGTAAGAAATACCCTTAGAAAATGTGTTTGTATATTTGGGGATTTTCATTTGAGGTATGGACATGTTGGAAATCTTATTTTGTGTGCTGTGTCATTCAGGACCTGAAAACGTGATGCTGACGACGTGTTTTCTGTCTGTGGCATTGAATCCATTGTTGCTTGTATGATATAATGAGATTTCTTTCTTTTTCTTTCAACTGGCTATCCTTTAGAAAACCTTTTCCATGACTTTGCTTTCAAGTAAGACACTTGGATTTTGATCTGAAATGGGTTTCCTTTTCCGCAGTTATCTCTACTTTCTGCAAGATTTTTTAACGAATGAAGCAGACCTACTTGACAATGCTCATTTCTAAGCCATTTATGTGTCAGGTTATTCAACATGCAAAAGTTGAAGGTAGCACACATTCATCAGGAACATTTTTCAGATCCGTGAACTATTTTTCTGGTATTTCTAAGTGGTGGGCTGGTATAATTACTGAGTGCTGTGGTTTTTTAAGTGGTTAGATGAAAGCTCCACATCAATATTTTGAAGTTTTAAGCTCTTAATCCAGTCTGTTGGACTCCTTGACTTTGATGAAGACCAAAGGATCATCTGCTTGAGGCTCAGGATAGGGAGCCTGGGAATTCTGTGTACAAGACAATTCTTTCAAATAATGAGCTGCTCTTTTTTTGCTTTTTTTTTTTTTTTTAGGCTGTTCTACAACAGTGGAAATTACTTTTCGTGGCATAAGGTGGGCAGTTAGGGAATATTGTTTTTCGATACAAGCTGTGTTGCTTATACTGAGGAGCAGACCAGTTTTCCATGGTATTGTTGAGTTAAATTCAGTCTTGGAACTACCCTGAGACCCTGTAGGACCGTGGAATTTGTCAGACCTCTTGGACATAAGATCAGTTCCCAAATAAATTGAAATGTTACGACCTGTCATTATGGAGCATTTGTCTTTAAAAACTGGAGGTGAGAATTTTAATAGTGTGATTTTCAACACATGATGAGAATATTAATTTGAGCTTGAATTTGTTCAGGTCATCTTTTTTCTCATACTAATTTTTTGACATAGGAAAACAGTGAGGTTTCTCTGGGTTGCTATTATACATGCTGCTGAGGTTTCTTAAGAAAATAACTCTTTTCATTCTGTGGCTGTTCTGAATGAATCTAAACTTCCTTATAGCTGTGTGTTTTGATCATCTGTGGCAGTGGGTGGATGCAGAATCACCTCAAGAAGTCTTAATTGCAGATTTTGGGGGTTTTGTTGTGGCATCTTCATGCTCTCTGCTTCAATAAAAAGGACAAAGGAATGGGGAGAGGTAACCTCAGTCTCACCTACAGCTTGTGTTGCTAGAGTAGAATGAGAATGGTGGATGTAGGTGCTGATAGCCAGAGGTTTGCTCAGCTGTCTTCAGTCTGTTACTTTAGATAACTCCTTGTTTGAATTCTGCCTAAAACCAGTTCTAGGTGTGTGTGCTTAGTGAGCTGTCTTTTCCAGAGATTTCTTCTAACATGTGAATAACTCTTTTTAAAATTCTTCCCCCCTTTTTTTTTCTTTCTTTTCCTTTTCCCTTTTGGTTAACAATCTATTCAAGGCTGCTAGGCTGCTCTTTTTCTGCACATGCCTCTGTATCATATGCTTAACATCATATTGTTCATCTGCATTTCCTAGTCACAAGTACAGACCTGTGAAGCTACGTGCCCGATAATGCATTGGTGTTTTTGTAGTCTGTTGAGAAGTGATAGTTTTCATATTGATTGCTGTCTTTATAAGGAAAAATTTTAAGCTTATTTATCACACTATCTCATCTCTCTTCCTTGCACCTTTGTGATAACCTCTTGGGTGCAAATATACCCAAGTGTGACATATTTGAAAAGAAAGGAAGTTAATTTAAAAATTGCATCTGCTTTGCTTTATTCCCATAACAAGTTTTGATATTCAACCTCTCTCTGTACTTAGGTGTGTTTAAAAATTCCTATGTATCTAGTTCTTGTTTGGGAGAGAGATGCTAAGATCCTTTCTGATGATCTTGTATCACCATCCATCATTGTTGATTACTATGCACCTCCTTTGCTCTGGAGCCACCTAACTTCTCAGACTATTTTCCTCAGGATCACCTTAGCTGAAGTAAAAGAGGGAAGTTGGAGCCCTATTTCTCTGTACCCTGGGGCTGCTCTTGTGTAAGGTAGTATGAGGAGAAAGCAACCTATAGCTTCATGCAAACCTACTTCAGTCAAAAATTGGGACTATCCTGAGGTGGCATTCATGAATAATTTATACTTTCTCACCACCAATCATTAACATGACTCAGTTGGAACCATAAAGATTTTAAAATGTTTTTAAAGCCTTAAAGCAGTGCATTTCTGATGGGACCTCAGTTACAGATGTTGTTTCCCACATAAGAGCTGGGAGATGCCACCAGAGCAGCGCAGCAGGACTGGTCTGTGTCCTTTGGGAGAGCTGCTTCAGGCTGGGCTCTTCTTGTTACGAGGCAGTTGCTTTCCCCTGTGTACTTAAACACTAATGGCAGGCGTGCCGGGGGACCATATGGGGAAGGAGTACACGTGTCATAAAAACTGCTCATTCTCCCAGCAGGCAGATCGGATTCAGCAAGGCGCTGAGCCAGATATCACCCACATGCTTCAGTTTGGTCGGTCCTGTTGTGGTAGATTCCGAGGTAAAGACTTTGTGTCAATTTTACACAGGAAATAGAAACATGAACTTACTGAAGCATATTATTCACAAATTTTTTTTAGCTGAATATATCTGTATTTTGGACATAAACCTGATTTTCCGGAAAAGAAAAAAAATAATACTTTTTAAAAAGAGAGTTGTCTTATTTTGGGGCCTGTAAATGTCTATTATCTTCAGAAGTCTTCTTTAACAAGTGTTGTGCTCATGCTATGAAATGTAAAGGTTTAATGGAAACTAGTGACCTATTTTTGCGAAGGCTGATTACCTCTCCTTTGCCATTCTCCTTTTAAAAACTGGGCATGAGGTCTTTTTTATACAACTGAGTGAAGAGAACAAGTTGTTTGAATGTGCTTATGGCATTTTAAGATCCAGGCATTAACAATACGTTACTGTGAAGAAACGCAAGTGCTCATATCTAGAAATAGCTATTGTTCATTTGTTTCTGAACTATTTGAAGTCAATGGAAAAATGAACAAAGTCAAATACAGTCATCTGTTAAGAAGTCTGCACAACTATTTAAGTGATGCTATTTCCAGTTTAGTAAACTCGTGTTTTACACAATATGAAACAATTTTGTCTGAAAATTCTGCAAGCATTTCTCAATTTACTTCTTCAGAGCTCTAACTTGACTCAGAAAGCCATTGATATTCATAGCTCCTAGATATTTCTGTCATGTTTCCTTTTAATGCAAGTACATAAGATGGAAGTGGAATCACAGCTTGTAAATAGTGATATAGAATGAAAGTGCTAAACAAGGTTGCTTAAATATAGAATCATAGAATAGAATAATACAATCATTTAAATTTGAAAATACCTTTGAGATGATCAAGTTCAGCCATAAATCTAACGCTGCCAAGTACACATCTAAAGCATGTCCCCAAATGTTACATCTACACATCTAAATACCTGCAGTGATAGCGACTCAACCACTTCCCTGGGCAACCTGTTCCAATGCTTGGCAACCCTTTCCAGAAGAATTGTTTTTCTAATATCCAATCAAATCTTCCCCTACTGTAATTTGAGGCAGTTTGTTTTTGTGCTATTGCTTGTTACCTGTGAGAGGAAACTGAAATTCCACTGCTAAAATCATCTTTCAGGTAGTTGTAAAGAGTGATAAGGTCCCCTTGAGCCTCATTTTCAACAACCTAAAGAATCCCAGCTCCCTCAGCCACTTCTCATCAGACTTGTGCTCCAGACGCTTCTCCAGCTCTGTTGCTATTCTCTCGACTTGCTAAAGCAAATCAGTGTCTTTGAGGGGCCCAGAACTGGACACAGCACTCAAGGTGTGGACTCATTGGTGCAGAGTACAGGGGGACTATCACCGCCCTGGTCCTGTTAACCACACTATTACTGATACAGGCCAGAATGCCATTGCTGGCTTCTGACCAGGACCTCCAGGCTCTTTTCTGACGGGCAGCTTTCCAGCCACTCTGTCCCCAGCCTGTAGCACTGCTTGGGGTTGTTGTGATCCAAGTGTGGGACCTGGCACTTGGCCTTATTGAACTTCATACCATTGGCTTTTCTCTATTGATCCAGCCTGTCCAGATCCCCCAGCAGTCTTCCTACCCTCCAGCAGATCCACATACCCCCCAGCTTAGTGTCATCTGAAGGCTTACTGGGAATGCACTCAATCCCCTTTTCCAGGTTATTCATAGAGATATTAATCAGGACTGACCCCAACTAGGGAATACCACTGGTCACTAGTGGTATTCCCCAGAGCCTGGGGAATACCACTAGTGACCAGTCACCAGCTGGGATAATTCCATTCACCATCATCTACCCGGCAGTTTTTTTGCCCAGTGAACAGTGTGCCTATTCAAGCCATAAGCAGCCAGTTTCTCCAGGAGGATCCTGTGGGAAGCAGTGTCAAAGGCTTTACGGAAGTCCAGGTAACCACATCCACAATATCCACAACATCCACTGTTTCAAGTCTAAGATTTCATATTAAGTATTTTTATTTTGAAAGAGATTACCTACAAATTAAATGGAAAAGTCTCTGGATGAATCTACACATGTTGTGAGTGAAATGATGAAAATATCTGAGCACATTTTGCTCCTTCTGTCCTCTTTCGCTTTATCATTCAGAGCAGGATGTATGGAAGGGAAAACCTTTCAAGCATTTCTAAAAGAAAAATACAACTTCTTCATTGAGGATTTGAGAGTTAGGAGAGATATACTTTACAATGAGCATTGACAGACAGTAGGGTGAAATGAAATGGAGGCTCTTTCACCAAAAAGCTGGAGGGCCCAAGCCTGGAGAGTCAGGCTGAAAAAGAAGACTAGACAAAGAAAGGATATTTGAAATTAAAATATCTAATATTATTTTGTCAAACAAAATAGCCTTCAGAAGCACTTTTTCCAGAGTGCTACCAATTCAAGTGTGTTCCTTCCAGGTGCTATTGTCAGTCTCTGCACTGTCTCATGTATGTACCCAGACTCAGCCTGGCTGACTGCTGTATGGAGAAGGAGAGGAAGAATGACAGAGTTGCTTCCCAGCCAGCCAGTTCACTACTGCTTCAAGTACACAGGGTGCTCTGATTTTTTACCCTTACTGACTGGCAGAAAATAAATACATGTCTTTGGTGCTTATTTGTACCACAATCTGTATGACAAAATTGATTTGTTCGAAATGAAAATTACGAGTTATATTGACAGATAGTTGCTTTTCAAATTGAAGTGGTAAAAATAGTCCTATATTGGAAACTGAATGAGTGAAACCATTCACTTTGTATCTCTTTACCTTTACTGTTGTAATTATTCATCCTGTATTTCAGCTTTGCTTGTCTGTTACACACATCTGACCTCACTGTATATTAGTTATGTGCAGCTGTCTTGTAAATGGACTGACGTGTGCTCACATTTTAATCTTAGTCAGCAAAGTGTGTATATGTGATATGTGCTGTATGAGCTCCAAGAATAGCAGCATTACAAAACATTTGCTGCTTTCTTATTGCTTCTAGGGTATTTTTTAGAGTTTTCACAATTTTCTTATTAATTTGGGTTAATTGATCTGACTGGAAAACCTGAATACCCTGCAACATTTGGAAATCTCACAATGTAGTGTTACAGGACTGTCTTTGCCAAAAGGATTTGGTTAATGTCACAATAGATTGACAGTTGAAGCTGAGTTGATCTTTGCATTTGGATAGGACACTCAGCCAGCCTTTAGCACTCAGAAGATTTGCATGCAAAAGGGCTGTGAGGGGTTTCTTTATTTCCCTAGATGTAGTATCAGTCAGATAGAAGGTAGCCTATTATTGTGGCAAAACAACAGGGTAAATTCTGAATTACAAAGATGAAGATGTAGTTAGATATTAAAAGTAAAATAATGAGAAAATGTAAATGTGAAATGCACGAGGCATGTATCTCTGATACTTGTCACTGAGAGGTGATTTGGGGTTTTTGGTAAAGTATGTTTTTGAGTTTTTGAAAACAGGTAGCTTCAAGGATATCTTTCTCTGAATTGCTTGATAGAGGTCAGTATATTTTCATCTTGGTTTAACTATTTTTTTGCCTGTGGAGTATGGTTTATCCTTTAAAGAGCAGAAAGCACTCTTTCACCAAAATCTAGCTTTCTTTAGGAGGAGTACAATGTATGCTGTGGTATGGTGCATGATGTTTGACAATGTTAGCTGTCTTTGGTTTAACTAGCATTGAGAGATACTTTATGGCACGCGAATAAACTCCCAAGATTTTGGAGGTGGTTTCATTTTCTTTTCATTTTCTTGAGTATTGTTCTCTGTAAAAAGTGAAAATATAATACAATGGTAATTGGTAGTTATTAGCCTACTCACACCTGGTCACACATTAGTGAGCTCTCTGGCTTCAAGAACTGCTGGTTCATTTGGAAATTGAGAGAATGGAAACATCCTGGATCTTTCCTCTGAGGTTTGACTGCTTTAGAACTATCAAGTATGACATAACTCTTTAGAGTGTGTGCTAGAAATGAGCTGCATATTCATAATTTTCTGTGAATCTTTTGTAGTGATTTATCTTTCTTGTTCAGGATTGTCTGCTTAACTCTTGTTTTCTGTGCCTACAAAATAGCATAATTGGTAATAATTGGGTAAGAGTGAGGACTTATGCTTCATGAAAATAAAACATTCTGGAATTGAGTTTTAATTCAGGCAACGGGAGGTTTTCAGAACATTTATTTCAAAGGAGAGGAGCTTCCTTCAAACGTCTGCTTCTGGTAGGATGTGATGGGCTGAGGAGGAGCACAGTGCTGGCTGGATGCACTGGCTGCTGCAGTACTGCACAGGGCTGGCTCTGCTGTGCCTGCCTGTGCTGAAAGCACAGTGGGGCTTCTTGAATTGCTGCTCAAAATGCTTCCCAGTGGGAATGTTGAAGGGAAGGATTAATGGAATGAATTCTTGTTTTCCCTTGCTGCTTGAGGTGTAATAGGAGGCAGTTCCTCATTTTTGAGAAGTACAGAACATTTTGTTGACTAGAAGTCCTTAGACCTTCTAGACATTTTCCTATAAGCTGTTAGGGTAATGTTAACATCAGGTTAAGAGAGTGCTTGAGACATGTCACTTTTTCAGAGAGAGAGCTAAGAGACACTTGACTGCCCAAGAGGAGGGAGGACAGTTGTGTGTGTTATTTGTTCCTCTGATCTCCTTCCTGTATTCCTTGTTCAAAAGCAGTATAGCATTTCCTCAGGAAGCTCTTTTCAGAATTTTGAGGTTCTGAACAGTATGAATGACAAACTAAGTCTTCAAAAAGTAAATACCCTCATGTATTTCTATTTATATTAGACTCATCTAACTGGGTTGTCAAATTATACTACTGCGTTTAGGAATATTATGGAGAATAGCTTTAACAAATGCAGAAGTGAGTTTATGGGAATAGGCCAGGCATTGGTTATTCATTTATATTCTGCAGAAGAACCTGTTTTATTCAGAGCTCTTGGAAAATGTTCATGGAAACTTTTAGGGAATTAGGACAGCTGGTCTAGCAGACTTTGAAGTCTGCAACACAGCCGGCTGGTTGGCATTCCCAGTGCCAACTGGCTCAGCAGCAAGTAGAGACAGCAACTGTGATTTTGGCTTAGGAAACCCTGTATATATAGAAGATGACTTGATGACAGGCAAGACTCAATAAATCTGGTGACATAACTGAACTTTGTTAACCAGTGTTTGCTCTGTTGGTATTAAACATCCCCCTATGTTTTCAATTAAAACTCATTATTTTTTCCCGTATTTTCTTTCTTTGGAGCAGGAACTTAGTACGTACTTCTCATTTACTGTCTTTTGGAATATCTGTCAGAACATTACTTTAACAGATGATTAATTAGATTTCAGCTACTGTATGTCATTGCTGATCTTTAGTCATTGTCAAATTTCAAATGAAATGTCATCTGGAAGTAAGTCATATGCAAAGCTACAGGAGTTTGGCTCCGCATCTGTCAGTAGACTTTGTGAATAATCTGATTTCCTGAGAGGCTGTGGATTTCTCACTTCATTGACTGATTCTTTTTGCCTTATAGTACAAAAATAGAGAAGGAAAAAAAAGAGCATGCTAAGCTTCATGGGATGATTCGTACAGAAATAAGTGGAGCTGAAATTGCAGAAGAGATGGAGAAAGAAAGAAGGTTCTTCCAGTTACAGATGTGTGAGGTAAGATTCAGTGTGAAATTATTATTAATATGGTGCTGTTTGTAGGAAAATTTTGAAAAATGCAATTGTTTAAGAGTAGCTGTGATATTAAAGGGAAATGCCAGGTTATTTATTGACTCCATTTGTGAAAACACATTTTTTTATTATCCTGATGGGCAAATTTTATAGAGAATTTAGATATTTTTTAATTTCACTAAACAGCTAAATTAATGCAAATAAAAGAGATAATAAATATTATAAAAGAGATTATAAATATTAAAAAAGAGATTATTAATATTATAAAAGAGATTATAATAACTCAGTCTTTACACCACTACTTCACTGTAAGTTATTTTAAGCCCTTGATCATTCTCTGAATTGTTCCTGTCCTGACAGCTGTTGCGTTATTAGGAGAGTCTCTAGTCTAGCACACTGCTGGGTTGGTACAGGAAAAAAGTGCTAGGGATGGAATCCAGTTGTCTTTCAAGTTGTTTCAGAATGTTTCTACTTCAAAATCTCTGTGATTTTGCAGTATGTTAAATCTGATGTGAATATTTTTGGTTTGATTCATTTAAGGATATGTCTGGTTCTGTGGTTGGGAATTCAAGTTGCTGTGTTTGTTTTTAGTACACATTAGCCCAAAAATACACCATGGGTGATTCTACTGCCTTTCCTGTGATGATGATAGCTAATTTGATTTATATGCCAGCATAGCATAACTGCAGTTGTCCTAGATATTTCTTTTAGTAGCTGCATGCACTCATACATAAGAGAAAAGCTTCACATTCCTATACAGAATCAGACTGAAATGTTCAAAACTGATTAAGGGATTTGAGTAACAAATAAACATATGGATGTTGTCAGCTAATTGCCTATCTGTATCCTTCCTAAGAAACAACTAGGAACAGATGCTTCTCTCTTGCTGTGTCACAATAAAGGAAGAGTTCACTTTAGTCAGTTGTAGTGATAATGAAGAGTGAAGTCTGAATTTGGATTAAATTACTCTAAATGTGGAATAGCTGAAGTGTATCCTGTATTTCTTCTGATTCTGAGGAAAATAAATTTATACTAGGTCACCTTTGAATAGTTGTGAAAGAGGACTTTGGTTTTGTTTTGATGGTAAGTGAGAAGGGTGACATATTGAAGTTTTATCATAAGTACAGACTAGTTCTCTGTAAATTATGGAAGTGACCTGAATACCAAATGCCTAGAGCTCCATTTTAAATTAACAGGAGCTGGAGAGGTGATTGTTGTAACTAAATATATCCAGTGCACGTGTCTACATTTAGGCTCATCATTTGTTCACCTGAACCAGCATAAGAAGCTGCAACATTGAAATCTGGCACTTGGATGCTGCTTTACTTTAGCTGATTTACAATAATTAGGATGTATGGTGAGAAGGGGAAACCCAGATGCATTAGAGCACCATTAAGACATTCGTTTCTTCACTTGGAGGTCACTGGCTGAGATGGGGTTAAATTTTTTTGTCATTTAATGGACAGTTAAGGACTTTGATCAATCATACTTCTGTTTGCATGGCTGACATTTTAGGCTGTGATATTCAGGGGAAGAGCTGCCACTTAATGTGGACTTTGTGCCTTATGCAAGAGGACAGTAGTTGCACTTCTTTTACGCTTGACAGTAGATTCATTGAAAAATCTCTTGCTAAACTGTAATTTGCTGTAATTACCATGTATAAGGATTTGATAAAGAAAACTATGAAATCAACAGGCAAATTTTAAAACTTGTTGAAATAATCACTCACTTTAATTTTAGCCGACTGCTTTCCTCCTTAATAACATCTGTTTAGTAATGAATTTAACAACTAGTGAGATAAATTTTTAGATGTGCTGCTAGGTGTAAGAATGGGTTCCTAAATGTACTCCACAAACCTTTTCATACTTTCTTTAACAGTGGCTTTCCTTAGGAGCCCCAAAGGATATTCTAACAATTTGGACATATCATAGTGAAATATCCTCACAGGATATCAAAAGTCAGCAGTGACAAGAATTCTTTTTGTGTGATTTAACTCTTGAAGCCACTTTTTGCTGCATTTTCTTTTAGGTTTTGTAAATCTGTAACTATTAAAACTTGTTGAAATATAATTGAAAATAAAGTGTTAAAAAAAAACCCTGTAGCAGTAATAAATAATTTGTTTTGTGAATTACTGTTTTAACAGTACCTGCTGAAAGTCAATGAAATCAAGATTAAAAAAGGAGTGGACTTGCTTCAGAACTTGATCAAGTATTTTCATGCTCAGTGCAAGTATGTTTTACTTTTCATAAACTCTACACTAACTGGAACAACATTTTGTTTTCAAATTTTGACATCATCATAACACTTTTCTAGAATTTTCAAAATCTTAAGTTTCAGCTGTTCTTGCTGATGTCTTTTGACAGATTGCTTTTGACAGAATAGTCATAGCTTTTGTTACTATATTCTGTAACATGAAATGAGGTTGAGCTTGTTGCATTGAATGTAATTGGATGTTCCAAAGGAATACCGAACAATAATTTGCAATGTTTATAAACTACTCTTGAAGCAGGGCTTTTAGTTTGATCTATTACTTAGTGGTCCATTAGTTTTGATGGACTTTGAGTGTATCTAACAATGATGTAAATTAATTATGTGCTCAAGAAAAATAAGTTGCATAAGTAGTGGAATAAAACTATATTGAAATAGTCACTCTTTTTCTAGTTTATTGGAGGAGGACCCAATAGTAAAACACAAAGTTCTCATTAGAATTATGTGCTTTTGTTATGATAGTGTTACAAATCTGTCATGTAGCAATGAAGTCACAGCTATAAACTTGAAAGAGCCACTGCTAACCTGTTGAAATCAGTTAAGTTTTCATCTTAAAACACCAGTCTGCATCTATGAATTTTTTCCTTAATACCTGTGTTGCTTTTAAAGTCAGTTTCACTTGCAGTGTGTCATTAATCTGCTCTGTCCATTTAATACGATTTTAGCAACGTAATTGCTGTGTTGCATTGTCACTTTCATGACTGCTTCCCAGAGTAAAAATATTTCATGTTGCAAACAGTGCAGCAATATTTAAACAAATATGCATGTAACTGTCATTTCTTAGAATTTTTTTTTAAATATCTTTGTTTTTTTTTTAAAGAACTGGAATACTTGGCATAGACAGCATTACTCTGCTGATTCAAAATGCATGTACTGCAGAAAGATGTAGTATATTCTATAAGCTCGCTTATAGAGCATAATTAATGATTGGGAAACAAAGGGGTTTTCCTTTAGTAAAAGATTGTATCAGACATAAAATTATGTGGCTTCAAGAAATCACAATTATTTTATATGGAGCTTTTCTGTCCTTCAAGTGAATCTTTCTTTTCTGGGCCTTCAGTAAGTGTGATGAGAACTTGTATTTGAGATGAGAATGAGGAAAATTTATGTGGCAGTGGATTGTGGCAGTTCTGAATCTAATTGGGGATTTTGCATGTCAGAATAAGCTATGATGGAAATAAAGAGGTGGATCAGTCAAAGATTAATTTTAAAAAGTTTACTGTTTTGAAGTTTATGCTATGGCATAATAATATGCATGTCTTACTATGGCAACTTTTTAAGCAGAAAATTCAAAGTAAGGTTTCATAACAGCTGGCTTTTTGCTTTTCTTTTTAAGTTTCTTTCAGGATGGGTTAAAAGCAGTTGAAAGTCTCAAACCTTCAATTGAGACACTCTCGACAGATCTTTATACAGTGAGTAGGAACATCTCATGTTTATGTGGTTAAATTTAGTTTTTTACAGTAGAAGATGATAATTTTGGTTCAGGTTGCCTGTCTGCTTTAATAGTCAGCATTTAAGGTTTAGAGTAGATTGTTGGTAAAGTCTTATTTTAATATGACATTCAGAAGTCTTAGTTTCAATTCAGGACCCCACTGTGTAAAATGTTATGAAAACAGCTTTTGCTCGAAAGTGTTTATTAAGTGGAAAATAACATGTGGTTTCAAATGGAACACAAGGAAGCAAGAGCATTGTGAGGCAATATCAAAGCCTTAACCCAGCAATATCCTAACCATTATCAAGTTTTCTGAAAATACAAGGGAAAATAAACTGATCATATTATCTTGTCTTTTTGTTTTTATTCTCACTGAATATTTCTCAAAAAATGAACCAATTATCAGCAAATTTGAAAGACCTGCATTGAAAGCTAAAAAAATGTTATTATTAACCTGTGTTTTTCTTCATTCAAGATTAAACAAGCACAAGATGAAGAACGAAGACAATTAACACAGCTCAGAGATATTTTAAAATCAGCACTCCAAGTTGATCAGAAAGAGGTGAGTATATAAGGTGGTTTAATTTTGGGATACCTATTTTAATTACTTGTAATGTTAATATTCAAGATAAAGTTATTTTAACTTTTATCAGACATTTAATTTCTTTTGTTAATTCATTTTTGTTTTGAGGCTGATGTTGAATGTTTCTGACAAACGCATTTTTAGAAAAAACAAATGCCCACTAAAAATATGACTTGCTGAAAAATGATTTCTTTTCATTACCAGTGTTGTAAAATATTTCAGATGGTGCACTGTTGCTCAAACTGAGAATGAAAGAACTTGGGCAGTATCATATAGAACCTTATCTCACAATATTATTCCAAACTGTATAATGGTTATGTAAAACTGAACTTTAAATGCCAAAACACTTCTGTCATCATCTGCAAAAGATGACAATCAAGTTTGTTACTCAGCTGCAAAATGCCGGTGTTCAGATGTGCAAGAGCTGGGTCAGTTTGGCAATCCAATAAGTATTTTTTGAGTTGCAATTATGATTTCCATTAGATTTAATGAATTCTAAAGTAGTCTCAAACTCTGATCTGGAAGTAAGCATCTTTTGTATAATGTAATCCTAAATACTGGGTCTACTTTTGTTTCAGATTGCTAGTGCCTCCTCTTCATTATAAATAAATGCCAGCCAGCTTCCTTTGTGTGGCTGCTGGGCCATGAGTAAGTGATGAATGAACCACCCCCCCACTTTTCAGATTCTCTTTCTGAGAGGGATTACAATGAAATAGTTTAGTCTACAGAGCTCAGACTTCCTTGATCTTTTCCGGTCTTGCTTTGATCTTCCCATAAAAGTTATGGTGACTCCTAGCTCTTACTGGTGACAGATGCTGGTTGTGGAGCAGTGTAATCTAGTGAAAGGTGTTCCTGCCCCCAGCTGGGGGTTGGACTGGATGATCCTCAAAGGCCACTCCCAACCCAGTCCATGTGATTCTGTGACTTGCGGACAGGCATTTGGAACGGTCTCGAACACTCCTCACTGTGTTACCTTGGGAAGTTTGTGATAATGACCATTGTGTACAAAGTCCCGCAAGATCAGCAGGCACTTCCTTAGATTCTGCCTGGCATTGAGGACTCACTGATTTGCCAAAAACTTCCAAATTTGAGCTTGCTAGAATGAGACACTAGGGAACCTCGTGGAAGTGGTGACTGCTTTGGGTTAGCCATTGACTGCCCACTCCCAAGAAGGAGCCTGTGCTGCTTAGGGTGTGTTGGCAGGTGTCCTCTTTCAGTTGGGTCTGTGGCTTTCATGGTTGCTGGGAATGTCTATCAGTGATACTGATATTAAATATACGTGGAAGATGTGACAAGTACACATTTTTCCACATACTCAAAAATTAATAATACACATACATTTATTATTTCTACTGAGTTTGTGACATTTAAAAATACAAGTATAAAAGTGCTTTATGCTGTAGTCATTATTTATTAATTCTTCAAATTTAGATATAGATGCTTACCTGCAGAGCATGAGAATTATTATAATTATTTTAAAGCTTTTTGAAAACATCAATTAATCAGTGGGATGCCAAAGAGTTCTAGTGGGATGCCAAAGAGTTCTTATATAATTTACTGTACAACCAACTAATATTATTCTTGTTGCGCTGTAATTTTCTTTACTATAACTGATTTCTTTTTCCTTCCTAAAATGCATTTACATTTTGTGACCGAAGTCTAGGAGAGTAAGTGTTACTATGTTTTAATGAAAATAGTGGCATGATTTTCATTCAGAATTCAAGAAACTGGATTTTTCCTCTAAGCATTTGTCTGTTGGCATGAAAAGACTGGTTCTTTCTCCTCTTTGGTGTATTTTATTACCAAAAAGAAAAATATTATCAAAAAATTTATCATACTCTTCTCGGGGAAAAAAAATTGTTGTAAGACAAATTGGTAATTTCCTTTGTACTTCCTTTTGGAAATTAAATCCAGTTGCTTGATTTGATGTTCTTGCAAGATTTTGAAGCTGTATGTATTTTTAATTAAAATGGACTTCATGTATGAAATGAAAGAATGTTGACAAACATTCTTCCTGTTATCTTTAAATAATTTAACACACAAAAGCACTATTAATGAACCTTTTTTTTGTTGTGCCTATATGCATAGTTTCTTCCTGCACACAACTTCCTCAAAAAGTATTGAAAGTTTATTTTTGAATGTCATATTGTGTACACCTTCATAGTTTTTAATTTTTAAGCTTTTATTTTTCAAATGTAGAAGTTCTGCAAGTTTCAGAGTCAACATTAGAATTGTATTGCCTTAACTGTTGTTCCCATGACCTTGGGCGAGGTCACCTCCTGTGACTAGTGTTTAGATTCATTTCTGCTTCTTTGTTAGAACCTATAATCTGTTTAGACCACTGCAAAATGGGATAAATGTTGTGTTTGTTGACAAAAATTACGGTAGTTTTGCTGTAGGAGAGGCTGCCTGCAGGGGGTTCTGATAGATACGTCTTCTGGAGACTTTGTGGGGCTGTAATAGGGATAGGGATGGGATAGATAAGGAATGGATCTCTGAAACATCCTCCTGGCAATGATCCTGCAAATGACAGAGATGCTCAGGCTCTGGGAGAACTGTAAGAGCTTTTTTTGGTAGCTTTACACACAGGAATGGTCTAAACAGTCTAAAAATCCAGTCCATGGGAGCTGTGGAATGACTAGCCAAAATTTGTTGTGTATAGGTTGAAGCACCTTGTATGAAAAGTTCTGTTATGTTCACGTAGTGGAGCTGACAAATAGGATCTCAGAATATCTCTTATCAGTAGTCACAGACCATCTTTAGAGAATGCTGTTTTCACATTTCTTTCATTTTTAGTTCTGCTGTTCAGCTTGACTTAAAAGCCAGTATATCTTCATAGACTTTGGGAGGAAGAATTTCAAACCCTTCTATGGTCACTGAAGTGATTCACTAAGAACATGCTGCAAATTTTAAATTACTCACTTCTTTTTATGCACCTATCTATATTTCCAAGTTGATAAAGTGGTCAAAGTTCAGTTCCTTAGGCTTGTGTACTTCAGCCTGTTCTGATTTTGTTATGTTCACTATATACTTAAAATGACAATACTCTGCACTAGGTGTGTGTCCCCTAGCCTGCAGTGATCCATTTCCTCCCATAGGTAATGTACATTGTTTCTGCTCTCCAGTGAGGCTATTGGGTCTGACCCTGTTATCTGTGATTTCTATCTCTGTTTTGTGCAGTATGCAAACCAGAAATAAGGGAAGATCCTTGGAATGCCTCCTTATGGAAAAGGCATGCTGAAAGGAAGGATGTTAATTGTGGTGGTGATTTGTTGGGTAGTTACCATGTCTTAGGAGCTGGATCAAAATCAGGAACTTCTTGTCAGACGGTTGTGGAAAACCGTCATTTAGCAATCACGTTGGACAGTATTGATCTGGACATGACCTGTACTGAGAGTTTAAAATGAACAATATGTTTGTCCTTAAGATCTTTTCATGAAATAGTATTAAATTTTTTAGATACTGTTCACAGTCATGAATGCGTGGAAATACACGTCAGCTGCTGCAGCTTCCTCTCCTGCTGAAATGAGGCAGGAAGCTTGTATTATTGGTTTGCCAGTTTGGCCAAACACAGCAGCTGAGCATAAACAGATGAAGGAAGGTAGCTGAAATGAGGCAGAAAATAATGCACAAAAAGTAGCAGCACAGACTAATGGGAATGGTACTATGAGCAGGTGTTGGAGGTCATCAGTAATCTTTACATAATTGAGGATGGGGAGAACTGAAATTAATTTCCTGTCAGGCCTCTAATCTTGCGAATGGAGTTCCTTTACTGGCTAATGGAAGGCAGAGATCAAGGCATTGGTAGGGCACAATAGGCAGTGTCAGATCAGATTTTCTTCAATAGTCAGTAAATGTATGCGTGCAGCAGTTTTTAATGAGTAACAGGAATATTTTTTAAATGTTGTTCTGGCTATATGTTGTGCAGAGTGCAAAACCAAATAATTCTATGTAAACAAACTAGAAAGGAACGATAAACAGACTGGTTTAAATCTAAAGAGATGCTTTGTCAGGCACAGACAGCTAAGTGGTAGTTCTTTAGGGCCTTTAAAAGGCTCAGGTGATGTTGTAGGTACCTGGTATGGCTTGCTGGATCACTTGCTGAAAGGCAGGAAGAGGGCAGGGAGAGGGCTTCTCTTGAAAAGGAGCACCAAGGAGTGCTGCAGCCTGTGCAGAGCACAGCTCGTGGCTCTCAGGACCACTGAGCTCCTGCAGTGTATTCAGGATGAGCCTGAAGCTTGGAGGCGTGGAGTCCTAAGTACTCTGAACAGTGGTGTAGGTGGGAGCTCTGGCTCTACCATCATGTTTAGAATAGCTCACAGTCATATGAGTGAGCTGCTTTGTGGGTTTTTTTTCCTTACTATACTTTTATTAGATGCCGTATATAGCACAAGAGTAATTATGTCCATAGAGCAATGACAGTAGAAAAGAAAAAAATGAAAATTTTAAGTAATAGTCATTGATACTGTGTGCATTTAAAAGTCCATTCTGTCATGTTACTGCTGTTCATATGGTGTGACACATCAGATTCCTCATTTTCAGGTTCTTATTTTTTAAGAAGTTGGACTTTTATAGCAGTGGGTCCTACCTCTGGGTAGTTCTGAGAGCAGTGAGAAGGGTCCCTGTCTCTTTGTGTCTCAGAATTTTACTTTCTTCCAGATATTTTGCTTTAAGTTATTATTTTTTGGAAATAACTTTTCAGTTTTCCTGTATGACTCCTGAACTATGTTTCCAGGAGAATTCTTCTGCTTTTCAGACAATAACTTGACTCAGTTTCCACAAAGAAAATCACTTCTTCAAATTGATGTATGTAATTATCTTTACAGTGGAAGAGTGCACTAGCAATTGCAGGTAATAACAGTCTTTAGTGTTTGTACCTTGGTGTGTTTACATGAGTTGGAAAGGCCACTGCTCAATTAAGTTTTGGGTTAAAACCCCTATATATTAAGGCCAAGAGTAAATATAAATAAAAGCAAGTAAAAAGATTTTGGCAGATGCTGATAGTGGATACTTCTTAAATTTTTTTTGTGCCCTCTGAAAAAATAAATGGATCTTGTTCTCTCTCACTGAGGAGCAAAATTGTGCTTCATTTGGCCTGTTGGATTAAAGCAGGAAGGAAAAGCTCTGAAACTCATTAATGGGGAAGTAGTTTAGTTGAAAGTGTGGAATGCATCACAAATTGCTGTTGATTATTTCAGGATTCTCAACTTCGTCAGAGTACAGCTTACAGTTTACATCAGCCTCAGGGAAACAAGGAGCATGGCACTGAGCGGAGTGGCAGTCTGTACAAGAAAAGTGATGGGTAAGTACTGCTGGAGTTTGCTGGGAGAAATATTAGCTCCTAAGAGCTCAAGAAATGTAATACAAAATATATTTAAAACTGTCACCTTTCTTTTTTTCCTCTAAACTAGAATCAGAAAAGTGTGGCAGAAAAGGAAGTGCTCAGTTAAAAATGGTTTTCTTACAATTTCCCATGGTACAGTAAGTATTTGTTTACAGTATTTTATGTACATGGTTGCTAATACAGAAAGGCAAGCTATGCTGGTCTATATTTATGGTTTGGAATTAGCTAGATTCCTGATACAGTGTTTTGAATATGAGAGATATATTTTTTAAGGCAGCATTTTAGAAATATATCAAGACATACACAGTATCTAAAAATACAGATATTTTAATGTTCATGACTGTTAATGGGAAAAAAAGGCTTATTTAGTGACTCAGTTCCTGTAAATGTTCATATTTTACCAGGCTATCTAAAAATACAAATTCAAACTTACTTTTTTATTTTTTTTTTTTTTTTAAGGTATGGTTGGGCATGAAGCCATTTTTTAGATATGAGTTAAACAACATTTTATATTTGCAAGATAAACTGAGAGTTTATGCTGAATTGCTGAATGCTGAATTGCATTTCTCCCTCAGATTTGCTGCTGTATGGTAGTCTGTTAGTTCCTTAGGGTCTTTGGAGTAGCTGTTGGGGAAAATCAAGCCTGAAAACAACTTCTACCAGAATGACAAGAAATAGAGAATTACAGATTCCTCTTTATTACTGCTACCAATATTTGAACACATTAACTATAACTATTAACCATTTGTTAAAATTTTAAAACTTTATGTTTTCATGTTTTGGACTTTTTGCACTTTGCCTTCAACTTGGTTGTGCTTTCCTATAACATTTTTAATATTGTTTTCTCAAAACTTTTAAAAGAGTTTCTTGAGGCAAAAAATAACTCAGTGTCAGTATTTCCCATTCTTGGTCTAATAAACAGTCCTGTTTCTTGTTCCTGTTATGAACTGTTCTGTTCTTCATCCTGTTACGCCTGTTGCTATGACTACAAGTTGACCCTGGCAGCAAAAATGAATCAATCTCTCATTTGTGCATCTAAGCACAAGCTGCTGCCTTCAGAATTGATAATCAGGAGTTAAGGAGGAGTGTAAAGTCAAGCCTGCAAAGCAGAGTCCTTACTATGGCTTTGGAATTGTCCACTTGTTTACGCCTCTGCTCATTTGGGTGTGTAGGAGTGTGTCTTTGGCAGAGATGCTGGTGTCTCCTTGTGCTATGATTGTGCCTGATGTTGGACATGCTGTACTGGTACCAGTAGGAATGTCACTGGGGGAGCTCAGAGCTGGCAAAGGCTACAAAATCCACTTGTGGAGCAGAATTTGAAAACTTTCACTTGCAAGTACAGTTACTGAGTCTGTCAAGATAGTGTTTCCTTCTGTTTTTATAAGCTGTCTGCTGGATGGTCTAACGTTTTTAGAAGCAGTACATTCCCACTGGAATCAGTGGAGTCGTAGCTGGAAATCAGTTGCTAAGGGAAATATTCACATGTGAATTTAGATAGGTGCATTTCATAGGTTTGGTCTCAGTGCTTTTATATTACAACATTAGAAAAGTCCCCTTTTGTTTCAAAATACACTCCTAAAAGGTATTTTCACTTATTTGCTTACTTCCCCCTTATATATTGATGACAGCTTTATGTAAAAAATTAATTGTTGTTACACTGAAACAGGTAGAAGTAATTTTTGTTAGTTAAAATTTTTCTAGGCTGCTCCGAATGTCTTCTGAGAATTTCCAAGCTTCTCAGGGTTGATATCTCCTGGTCTCTGGAATATGATATATTGTTCTCTCACCCATCAGAATCTCAGAAATTCAGTTGTCAGTTTTGCTTTCTTTATCAAATACAAATTTGTAAATACTTCTGTTTTAAGGTCTAAGTGTTCTTGATGGATTTCGCTTCTTTGGTTATGTAGCCTCTCTGTTTGAGGGACTACTTTGTCAGTCCCTAGAACAGCTATCTTCAAGCAATTGTAGGTGCATAAACTGGCCTGTCAGGTGCTCTCCTGATGCACGGAGAGAATATGTTTGGTTCTCTGTCAGTCACCCAGCTGTTACCCTGTATGTGTCTGCCTGCATTGGAATATGTGCAGAAGTTATAGTTTTAGACAACTAAAAGCTTCAAAGAAGTCAGCATTCGTACATTTAATGTATGTGGATGAAAAAAAAAATGATAGAAGAAGATTGAAACATGTAATTAGGAATTCCTAAGTCCTTTGCAGATCAAGAAGTCACAAGGCAAAAAGATTTCAGAAATATCAGGCTGCTCAAAGCTGGATTTGTGTTTAAAGAAGTTTTGCTGGTTGTTTGCAAAAGAAAGCATATAAGAGACTCCTTATCAAAACATTTTTGTTGGTCTTTCTTTACTGCTGAAAATCTTACCATGATGATTAAAAGGACAATCTGAAGGCAAAACAATCAGATTTCATCTTTTTTTTTTTGAAGTTGATCACTGATATCCAGGAGAAATGCATGATGAAAACAGCCACTCCGTCTCTTAGTGGACATATTTGCTCATGCCGTTTGTAAAATCAGCTCTATGTGTCCTATATTGTCTCGGAGGCCTAACTTTTTGATTCCTACAATTCTGTTTTTTGCTAGAACAGTTTATAAGTCAGTTTTGATGGATAGAGGGTTGCCAATTTTGCAGAAAAGAACTTAAGTTGATGCTCAGGTCTGTGCATGTTATGAAAGGTGGTAGCACTTTTCAGGGTGTTGGCGTGTTAACGTGGGTGTCCAAAAACTCAGCAGTAGTCTGAAATTTAATCAGAGACTCGATCAGGAAAGTGACTCTCAGAGGTTTCAAACGAGTAGTGTAATATTAGTTACCTTTGTTAGTTTTTTCCATGTCTAGTGTCTCCTAATCCTGCCAAGTGTCTGAATCAGTGTGGCTAAGGAGCTCACACAGCCTTACCTCCCTTTGTCTTTAAGCTTCAACTTCTCCCCAGGCAATGCCTGCCATGTGGTGGAAGTGTGTTGTCCACAAGCAGCAGGCACAGGCTGGGGAGGCTGCTGGAGAAAAACTGTTAGTCTGCTGCAGGATGGAAGCATGAATGAGGTGCTATCAGCCACAAGGTTTTTAATACCCTTGTTAATGCTGACTTCAGGTTAGGAGTTCTTCAGATAAAAGCTCAAGAATACGTATGGATTCCAAGATCAGCATATTTGCCCAGGTTATGTTATTATTGTTGCAGCCATTTCTTTGGGTTGCCAGATTGTGATACTGAGTTCTTCTGCTGCATTCTCCTGTCCCGAGGGACAAGTCCTGTGGGCATTGCTCCTTCAGACCCCTCTAAAACATTTTACTGCATTCATTTACAGCTTCATATTTCATAAGTTAGAGAAAATTAATTAGGTCCCAAATGCACTTCAGATCCAAAGTCTTGGGGTGAGGGGATTTTCTCTTAAACATGAATTGCATTCTTACATTCTGATAGAGCCTGTGAGAAGGGTATATATGAGTTGCCCAGTGTCTATATAATTAATAATTTAGAAATATTTTAATATCTTTATATATAATTTATAACTAAATAATTAAAACTGTATGCACTTTTACTACTAAAAGGAAGGCTGGAATTTGAAAAGCTATTTATTAGGCAGAGAATACAATGTGATTGTCAATAAATTGTCATCTTGCTGCCTCCAAAACCTCTCTTGGGTATAATTTGTTTTACATTGCCCAGCAAGTGACCTGCACATTTATTGTTTCAAAGCTTGCATGACTTTGTTTTGTCTGCTGCTTATGCTGGGCAAAGCATGAACCTACTATTTTTCAAGGACACCATGCTTTTTTTTTTTTCCCTAACAGGAAAAAAATACATAATTGTTTCCTTTCTTATGTTTGTCCATGGTTTTGATTTTTTTTTTTAGCTGATCTGCAGATATAATGACACTCTTCTTTTTTTGCCAGCTATATTGTTTTATCAGAATGTTTCAAGGGAATCTGTAATCTTTTGACTTGTTGTCCCTTGTTTTTTTTGAATTAAATGTTTTCATCAACAAATTTAGATGAGATTGTGAGAATATCTACATTTCTTATGCTTCATTGCAAGTTAATAACATTATGTGATAGTACAGCCTCATTTGGTAAGGATTTGTTTAGATATTTAAATATTATTTTAGCAACTTCTATAAATATTGTTAGAATGCAACAGTAAGTGTGGTAACGTGTTTGTGAATATTGCTATCCATATAATAGTTATTTCCTAATGGTTTAATGATTTTTTAGATATTATTGTCTAGAGAAAAGGATGACTCGTTAAATCTGCTTTCTGATTTAATTATTCTAAAAAAATAGTGAAACTAGTTATCAATTGTAGGAAGTGAAAGCCATTCCTCAAGTCAAGGTTGCAAACAAGTCTTTCTAGATCCTACCCCAGGTCTGTAGCACAGGTAGGCTAAGGGAAAGAAGAATGCAGAGGTGCTGTTTGAAAAGTCTTTGTAGCCTTTTTGAGTCTTTCAAAATGCAGGTTCCTTGTGAATCTTGCTCTTAGTAGAACACTGTCACTTTCTGTTCTAAAAGGAACTGAAGTAGCTCAGAGGAACTTGACTAGAAAATATATGTCATTATAAAGTATACATTATTTCACTAGATTTTTTCGTAATCAGCTAGCTCATTTTACTTTTATATATGTTTGCTGCAAGACTTCTCTGTGAAAACTTATTTTCCTTCACTTAGTTCCCTTTACTGATTTAAAAATTCAGCATTTGTTCTTAAATGGTTATTTGGAGACCTCTTAAAGACATTAGCAGAAGTCAAAATAATTAATTGTTGAAAACTAAACAAGTAATATTTTAAAACTAAATGTCTGAGTGTTAGGGGATTAAATATAAGGATGAACCTGTCTCTTTTTTGTACCTAGTTCCTTCAGGTAAGTGTTTCTAGTTAGTGGTAATTAAAGAGACACCCTTCTTCTTTTCAAAATTAAGTTACCAGTAAACAAAATCATCAAATAAAAGTAGCTTATGAACCATGATATGGAAGAAAACATGAATGAAAACCTGGGGACCTTAAAAATTTAACAGCCATTTGTCAAGTCTTTTTGGCCAGTGAGACATCATCCTGTGCTTTCAATCTGCAGCTTTCAGTCAGTGTGGGTATACTAAAATGTGTATGTTTTATCTTCAAATAGGCTAACCGACCTCCAGCAAAGCTCAATCTGTTAACCTGCCAAGTGAAAACAAACCCAGAGGAGAAAAAGTGTTTTGACCTCATATCACGTAGGTTTGTTGTTCAGGTCTTTTTACTTGCAGCTCATAGCAGAATTTTGCATTATTTCTGTAGATGTGTCAGTAATTTTTGCCATTGCAGAATGCTTCCCTTTATAAAATGCCCTTCCTATGACAATTTGACCTTTCAGTTATTTTAACATAATGCAACTAACTGTGCTTGTTTCTTTGGAAAACCACTTGTATTTAGAAGCTCTCTTCACTTCTTTTTTCTATTTAATTTTTTGCTGTCTTACAGCACAGTAACTATTTTTTGCTATAACATCACTCTTCATACTAAAAACGTCTTAGCTCATCATCGTGAAAAGTTAAAACCTTTGCACAAGATCAAAAGGTGCTTGTTAAACTTTTTTGAATTTAAGTCTGGTGGTTGCTATGCAACTGTGAAGAAAATATTGAAACCATTTTTTGGTTTTCTTATCTCATAATAGAGAGAAAGGTGAGATAAAGAATCTGCATGTTAAACTCACCAAAACAGAATAACTTTTGGATCAGAACGGGATGATATGAAATTGTGTAGTAGAATGTTTCCTTTGTTTTCTGACTAAGATATTTTACTGAAATATGTATCTCAAGTTAGCTGGGGAGAAGAATACAAACGTATTCCTCATTTTTTTCCTTTATTGAAGCACAAAGTTCTTCTGCATTTATAAATGTAAGCTGTGCTGCTTATGTGAATAGACTGGAATGCTTGTGTGCAACATACAGCTAATTCATTTCTGCTCAAGCAGCTGGGCTTCCCTGTTTGCTCCTGTGCTTTCTTTCTTTGTTGATGACCGTGTCATGTTTTCCCCAGTATCAGCTTATTGTAATGTTACTACACACTTGAAAAGGCATAACTGGCTTCTTAGCCTTCTCCAGATTACTTTTTCACTTTGTTTTACTGTAGAGTTAAAAAAAATTTCCATGTTATTTACAAAATGGAAATTGCAGTACCATGGCAAGATAAAAATCTCTTAATGTGGCACTTTCCTTTCTGTTCTTTCATATATCTTCATTGTCTTAATATTTTCCATGCTTGAAGCTATCTTTTAATACCTTTTAGCCTGAATATTTTTCAAACTTTAGAAATTTTCATCTTAGAATATATTTGCCTATAGCTTTACCTCCATTGTTCTCATCAACTATTCTCACTCCAGCTCAGTCATTAAACTGTATCATATCTTATTCTTCACAGACTTACAATGGACTATGTTTTTTCTTTAATAGTATGCTATAATAATAATGCTTAGAATAAGAAAAGTAGTAGTTAATTAAAAAATTGTGAGCTTGGTTTAATTGAAACAGATTGGGGCTCATGCTGGTTGTAGTTTGGAATTGTGTCTGGCAGATTTTTTTTTTAAGTTTGTGATTATTGGGTTTTAAGAGCTCATTTGAGCTCTTTGAGTCTTTCTTACATACACAGATAAACACAAATATGGACTGTATATTTTACTCCTCTCTCTCTCCCAGAAGAACTTTATACTTGTGATGATGGAGGTTGTATCCAGAACACGGAACATTTCCTTTGCTCTCCTGCTGCTTATGTGATAAAAACACAGTACTGAAGAAAGCAGCTTCTGTTTAAAATGCAGCAAGCCACCCTATGTAAACACAGGTGTAATCATACAGGAACTATAGGTAGTAAGGTGAAACTTCTTAAATGGACTTTTTGTCTCTCAACACACTCCAGTGATGAGAACAGAGACCTCAGGACTCGATTAATTTTAGATTTCATTGAGAGATTTCTGCAAGATGAGTTTTTCAATAACTTTGTTTAATCAGTATGTGAATTATTTATTGTGCAGATGACAGAACATACCACTTTCAAGCAGAGGATGAACAGGAATGTCAAATGTGAGTTGCTTTCTAATTTTATTGTTGACACTGGTGTTGACACTGGTGATCTACTGAGACTTACTTTGAACTTCAGAAGTGCCATAACACTTAATAGCAAAATATTGCTGCCATTTTAGATGGACATCTGTGCTACAAAACAGCAAAGAGGAAGCTTTAAATAATGCATTCAAAGGAGATGATAACACAGGAGAAAATAATATTGTCCAGGAACTGACAAAAGAAATTATATCTGAAGTCCAGAGGATGACTGGAAATGATGTTTGTTGTGACTGTGGAGCACAAGGTGACTCAATTAAGCATATTTCTAATTGGTAAAAATTCTTTGTCTTATGAGAATCTTTAAGCTAATGTTTTGTACTTTCACTTTTACTCATGATTTCACAAAAATTATATACACAGTAGAATGTGCTAACAATTTAATGGAACTACTTTAGTTAAGATTGATTTGCTATATTCTTATTATCAGAGGGGAGAAAAGTTACTAAGAAGCTTATTTTTCTCCCATGTATTTTGCTAATTGTAGCTTTTGCTTACATTAATCAAATGAACTTATATAAAATATGGGTTAATAATGTAAGATTTAGGTAAACTGAGCAACCATAAGTTACTTGAACGTTTTCTTAATACACCTTTCTTCTTTTTTCTTTTTTCATCATGTTTGCTTAAGTGAGACAGGGAGTATGTCTAAGGCTATACTCATTTTGAGAAGAATGCTCCTGCTGGCTGTGGTTTGCAGTGTTGGTTATCTTCATTAATGAATTTCTACTTTAACCCTCTTCAAATTGTTTTCAAAATCCTGCTGTTTCTTGTGTTCTTTTATGCTGAGGGGCACTGCAGGACTTAGTTTTTTGATATAAAAGTGTAGCTGCAAACATCTGCTCGGGTGCTGTATGCACTTTACAAATCGATAGTAACTTCCAGCAGTAAGTATTGTATAAGGCTATGGGAAGAGTCAAGCCCTCTGTCTTAAAAAAAGAGAGTGTAAATGGCAACTTACAAACCTTTATCAAACAAATTGATTGCTAAGCTGTCTAAACCTTCAGAAGTAAATTATTTGGCTGGAAGAGGAGGGAATGATGTAGTAAATGCAAAATACCAGGAGAAAAGACCACAAGGGCTATGAAAGGAGAGGGATGAGCCTTCGTATCTTTGGAGCAGTTGAGTGTGAATCTTGTAGTGTGTGCACTTCTGAATCACTTCTGCTTCACATAGTTGAAAGTCTATATTTGAAGTACAAAAGAACCCCAACCCTGTAAATGTTGTTATTTCAGTTTAAACTGCACCTGTATTCCCAGTTGAGAGTGTGACACCATTATACTGGTGGTGGGAAAATGCAGTTCCTGAAAGTTGTTTGAAGAATGATAAACTGGATTGGTTAATGAGCTCCCTTGGATAGCAATGTCTTCCACAAAAATAAAATAAAAATTCTCCTCTTCACTTTTTTCAGCATTAAAAAAGATCCTGTTTTTTTCCCCAGGCAGAGGAAATGTAAAGACATAAATTAAGATAAAAAATTATAATTAATGTACAAGAATCTTATTTTACAGAATTTCATTTGTGTGTTTTACATTTTCTAGATGAAACAATTGCCTGAATAAATTTTAATTCTGTGGGTGCCTTCTGTTTCAGATCCTACCTGGCTTTCAACAAATTTGGGAATTTTAACTTGCATTGAATGCTCAGGAATCCATAGAGAACTTGGTGTTCACTATTCCAGAATGCAGTCGCTTACATTAGATGTGCTGGGAACATCTGAACTTCTGGTAATCAAATTGCTTTTATTAACTTAAAAATAGTACTGTAAAGTACTTCTAACACAAGTATATTTTTTGTCACTTTAGCAAGATGTTCTTATCCTGAAGTTCTCTCTGGATAAACACAATCTAAGAAAGCTTAATTTTTGAACTTTATTGGAACTTTCTGGAACATAGTGTCCTACTGTAAACTTTTTCTTATCTTAGAACTCAAATTAGTAGAGGCTTAATATTTTTTCTGTTTTCAAATCTTTTTATCCTAAGTTGCTTTTTAAAAAAACGCAGCTGTTTGACATATAAATGTACTTCAGATTAAAAATTGGAGGACTTCACAAATACTTAACCCATTAATTATTTAGTGTTATTTTAGAAGACAACTTTAATCCCCAAAGGAAGAAAATGTATTCAGCTTTGCTACACCACTTATCAGCTGCTCCATGACAGTTCATATGTGCGTTCTTACCCAGCACAAAGTATTTGCATTTACTGTATGAACTGGTGTCTTGATGGATTATTCTGCAGTTATTTGTTCATGTACTAAATCCCAGTTGAAAATTCACATCCAAAAAAAGCCCCTAATCCGTTTTTTATTGCTGACATAGCAGCAGACCAAGGAATCAGAAAGAAGAGGTCCCAACTCTCATTTTCCCTTGTTCTCTCCTTGTTATGTGTGTGGCTAATAACTGAACATGTTTATTAATTGAGCTGTGGGATTTTGTTTTTTAACAGCTTGCAAAGAATATTGGGAATGCTGGATTTAATGAGATTATGGAATTCTGTCTTCCAGTTGATGAGGTGGTCAAACCTAATCCAAGCAGTGATATGTAAGTAAAGAGCCGCTACTTCTGAGAAAGGCAGGCATTTCATTTAATATTGCCAAGGGGCTGTGCCATTATGGTTTGCACTAGCAGGCCATGGAAGATGTGTAATATCTTATTTATGGTCTTATAGCTGAGGAGTAAATCTTTCTTCTGATGCTTTGCATGTCTGTTTTATTGAGTTTTATCTGACTGTACATACCCTAATAGTAAGGAATGTCTTACCAACTCTTTGAATCGTGGTTTGTGGGAAAGAAACAAATTAACTGTGACTTGTTGGGAACCTTAAAGTCATACAAGGATAGGGATTAAAACCAAAGCAATTAATTTGGTGCTATTTGAAAATAGAATAGAAATTGTAATAAAGTGCACGTTTACTTGAAAGATACAGAACAGCATTTAGAAACTGTACCTGGGACCAAAGTCCATGTGAAATGAAGACAGAACATTTAACTGAATTCCTCGAAAGCGCTGAACAGTGATGGCAGAGATACAGCAAGGACAGCTGCCTACTTGGCTGGATACTACTCATCATGAAAGAGCTAGTAAACAATGCAGAAAAAACCCCAGAAGAATTGGCTCTGGATGAAGCTGATTTTACATTAGGTGTATTTTTAGCATTCTGACAAAACCAGTGTTAAACAAGACAGTTTAGATAATTTTTGATTACTACTATCAATAATAATGCAGAGTATTAATATTAATAATTTAAACTACTAATAATTTTACCATATGCTGAATCAATATAATAAGAACACTTCTAAAAATTTGTATTTAAAAAAATAATTTAGTTTGATACCTCTGCTTATCAAATTTGGGGCTATTTTATTGAAATGAGAACCTGAATACTATCAAATGCTTTATGAACAAGTTATCCATTGATTCAATTTATTATTTTTTATTGGGGTTTTATTACTTCTTGCCCATTACGTAGTATCTAGGTGATGAGGTATGACTATGTTAATTATCATCTGTGCAATGCTGTCTTCATCTCAAGAGCTGATAAGGTGTTGTGCCCTTGGGAGGCAAGCAAGCTCCTGCCTTGCAGTGATGGGAAGAGGAGTAGCTGTGTTACTGGGCATCTACAGCAGAAGTGATAGCTCGTGCTGGGTCAGGTGGACTAAGTTTTCATCTCGCTGTAGAAATGTCCCTGAAAGGTCCAACACATCCTCCCTGTTACAGTTATGGTGAAGAGTTTAAAAAACATACTCACTGCTGGGAATTCAAATTCAAGGCCTAGATAGTCTGTGCAGATGTATAGGATAGATTTTTTTTTTTTTTTTTTTTATCCCATGCCTTCCATCCCTTTCCAGCATGTGTAGGAGTACCAAGTCAAGTAGACATAAACCTGCAAGGCAACATAAACCAACATTATAAAGCTTTGCTGTATATCTGTACATAGAGCTGGATAGTCTTGATCTCAATATCATCACAGAGTTTGGAGGAAGAAATTCATGGTCCATCTTTATATTGGATATTTGATTCATTTTCTGTAACTACATTTCATACTTGAAATATGAGACTGCATGCTTACATGCATATTTAAAAAGAAAAATTATCATAATGAATGATTTCAAATGACTTTGCATGTATTTATGGAAATGCTAATGTGTATCTTCAGCTGAAAGTTATAGAAGTAAATCATATTCAATTTCAGGAATGCAAGAAAAGATTACATTACTGCCAAGTATATTGAGAGAAAATATGCAAGGAAGAAGCATGCAGACAATGCAGCTAAATTGCATGCTCTTTGTGAAGCAGTGAAATCAAGGGACATTCTTGGATTAGTTCAAGTGTATGCTGATGGTGTGGATCTCACAGAAAAAATTCCACTGGCCAATGGCCATGTAAGTGTTGTAAATTTTATTAGACAAATTGTTGTAAGTGCAATATGCATTCATTAATTAAAAATTATTTGAAATAATATCTGAAACACTGTTCTGAATGGATGTCATTTTAATGATGTAATTTAATAAAAAAGAAGATACTAAATAGTTTAATCTAAAATTGTTTCCAAGTACTATCTTATTTTAAATTTATTAAAACATTAAACATTAAATCATTCAATAATCCATTAGTTTTCAACACATTTATTTATTTATTTACTTTAAAGGAGCAAAAGAGACACAGTAAGTCTTCACAGATGTTTTAATATCAGCACAATCGAATATTTTGAAATTACATGTTTTATTTAATTTAGTTAATGTTTTATTAAAATTTCTTCTTCAGAAGAAGAAGAAACAAATATCTTTTTTCATTTTATTCTTAGGAGCAAGATGAAACAGCACTGCACCTTGCTGTTAGATCAGTTGATCGAACTTCCCTTCATATAGTTGACTTTTTAGTGCAGAACAGGTAACTATGGAAAGCTAAATACTGACATTGCTTTTATGTAAAGTAATATAAATACAAATACTAAAATAATAAAACTGCATTTGCAAATGTAATTTTATTATTTGAAAATCTTCTAATGAGAGTGGCTTAATAATATAGAGTAGGAAACTTATGTTTAACTACCTTTCTTCTTTCTTGTGCTCCAAAAGTGGCAATCTAGATAAACAAACCTGTAAAGGTAGCACAGCCCTGCATTATTGCTGTCTAACAGACAACGTTGAGTGCCTCAAACTGCTGCTGAGAGGGAAGGCTTCTATTGAAATAGGTAAAAGGGTAATGTGTACTTCAATTTCCTATTTGTCATTGCTTCAGATAAGAAACATTGAAGTTGGAATAAGTGCATTTTCTCCTCCATTGTTTATCATAATTCTGTAAATCTTCATTATTAGAGAATTAGTATTCACTGTTTATTGCAAGTTTTAAATTGACATATATTACACTTAGTTTTTAAGCAGGTTTAGATTTTTAATTGCTGTTTTGTTGTGAAGTTATATACTGCCATTTCATGGCTATCATTCATATGCATGTATGGCATGTTGAATTGCTACTGCTTGTTGTGTTCAGAGGGTTGATGTGAGTTGGACCTACCTATAAAAGAAAGAGATGTGTTTTCGAGAATGTTGCTCTAGTACTTAACTATGCAAGTTTGTCTTGAGTAACGGACATGTTAATAGTGACATTTCTCATCATACATTTCTTTTTTTGCTGTAATATAGCAAATGAAGCAGGAGAGACACCACTTGATATAGCTAAACGTTTAAAACATACTCACTGTGAAGAGTTGGTGAGTATCGTGTCATTCTGTGTGTGCATTTCATGTCTGATCATTTAACAGTTTACTGCTGAATATTCAGTAAATATATTCCAGATGCAATAGGGGTGTAGTAGAAATAGTTATATCCTCAAAAATAGTCTTATATCCTCAAAAATAGTCATATGCTTACATAAAGTTGTATGCTTTTAAGGAGAAAACAATATTTTTCTTCAGATGTAAGGAAGTGGTTGAGTCACCTTTCCTGAAGGTATTCAGAAATGGTGTAGATGTGGCACTTAGGACTATGGTTTAGTGGTGGATGTGGTGGTTCTGGATTCATGGTTGGACTTCATGATTTTAAGTCTTTCCCAACCGAAATGATTCTATGAATCTAAGTCTCTGACATCTCCTTGAAATCTAATTACTAAAGTACTTTTTATGAGTGAAGGCCATGGATGAAGGCCATTATCTTGTTGCCCAGAGAAGTTGTGAATGCCCCATCATACTGGGGCGATCGAGGCTTCTTAGTAAGTCACTTGGATTCAAAAAACTGCCATTGCAGTTAATTTCTTTGAATTGCAACTTCTCAAGCAAACAAATACAATGTGGTGTTTCTTATCAAAAAATGGAGAATGGATCTACAATGGTTAATGAAATGTCTAGTTACTTTTGATTTATTTGTGTTCTATTTGGTAACACAGCTTAATTTAAATTTACTTCAGTGCAGTAACTTTCCAGATTGCTGAAATCAAGATTCTTCCTATTTGTGGACTTTGTTTGCTGTTAAATATGTTGAAAATAAGTACTGCCCATAACATAAGTGTCAACAATCATATTTCTTTTTTCCTTAGCTTACTCAAGCACTGTCTGGAAGATTTAATTCTCATGTTCATGTAGAATATGAATGGCGGTTACTTCATGAAGATCTGGATGAAAGTGATGATGATGTGGATGAAAAGCTACAGGTTTGTATCAATATTATTTTTCTGTACACATATATGTGTAAGTGTGATGTTCATAATTATTTCAATAACTTTGCTTTTTACTATAGGTATGAAGACACTGTGAAATAAATTTTTGTAGTAAAATGCAGTAGCTTAGATTTTTTTTCCTGGAATTATAGTTAGTCTTCTTTTTCCTCTTAAAACATGATCATGTGGTGCCAAATTATAACTAGCCATGTCTCATATATTCTTTTCAATCAAGTCAATCGTTGGCTTCAAAATATCAGGAGTATTTAGATCTGCTGATTGTGAAGCAGATCTAACATGAACTGGGAAAATTCCTTTTCAATGGAAGACACCTCAGACTATCTCCTCATGTTTGTGAAATACCTCCAGTCAATGGCTCTAACTTTAGAAGAGTTTATGCATTGTTTTGTCTTCAGGTGAACCTGTGCATTAAATAAGCTGCATCCATTAACAGCAGGGTAGGGTCTTAATTCTGAATCTTCACATATAAAATATTTTTTTCATTTCCATGTTTTTCATACCTGAAATGTCAAGTGGAGTTGTGATACTTTCAGATCCAGAATCACAGAATGGTTGGGGTTGGAAGTCTAACCTCCCTGCTATACCTGGGTCACCTGGAGCCTGTTGCCCAGGACCATGTCCAGGTGGCTTGAATGATGGCCATATTACAAAACATTTCAATAGCACACAAACTTCATTGCATTTTCAAAATTTAATTTCCCAGTTTAGGGCCCAACTTGAAAAAGTATTTATGCACCTAAACACACAGACAGGTAAAAAACTACTGTGTTTTGACACCTAAAAATGTCATGACTTTGTAGGGGACAAGTAATTTGAAATTATGTATAGGCTCTAAAATACTAATAACATCCTGAAACTTTCATAATTTGAAGTATTCCATAAAAATATTGAACAGGTTTTTGTTCTTTGTGTGTGGTGTGATGTTATTTTTGCTTATGCCTTTTCTGATTTCCTTATAAAGTACAAGGAATACATAATAAGCTTTATATTAATCTTCAGATGTTAGCACAATGTTTTTTGAAAGTAGCTAACAAAACCCCTTTCTCCTCTGAATAATGAAATTTGACTTTTTCTTTCTACAAGCTTTAGCATTTTAATACTTCTCTTGCAAAATCCCCCATCTCAACAAGGGCATGAATTGCTAACACTAAATTAATAACATAAAACCAAGTCTTCTGTATGGGGTTTTTCTTTGTTTTCAGAAAGATTAAAACCTGACAGTTTGTTCATCAAACCATTAAATTGGCTTAAATGTTTTGGAGAGTAATTTTGACATCAGGAATTCCTCTGTTGCAAAATTACCATTTTTATAATACTGTGTATGCATAGGACTCTCTCCCTATGCCCTCTCTAGTCCAAGATAGCTGTTACCTCTGGTGCTTGACTTAAAATAATTAGCAATAGCAGGTGTCACTAGCCATTCCTTTCAAAGCACAATTTCTACTTTTTGAGACTCTTAAGATTTTCCCTTAAAATTTTGGTATCTGTGGAAGAATATGAAATCTGTGAGCTGCTAGATCCAGTTCTTTTGCATGAGCATACTCTATCCCCATGTTTATGTATTCCTATATATTTTATCACCCTCCAGATAATAACAATAGTAATGATGATAATTTTGATAAAACTGTGATTGAAACCTTTAGAGGTCTCTTGTTTTCTAGCTGTAAAAGTTTTTGGTTAGTTAGAAATACGAATCCCTTTCTGGCATGATCTGAATTTGTTTCTTGGTCTGTTTTGTCCTTCACTTTCTTCATTGTTGCCAGTTGCCTTCTGCAGTTGAATGGGGTTTTTTTTGACTAGTCCCTGAGCTCCATCTCATATAGGAAGGTATCTGCTACTCAGCAGTGTGGCTAAAGTGATGAAGTTCCTATTTCACTGCCCACTATTAGTAGGTTTATACTGCAGGGACTTTTGAAAGGAGATTAAAGACTATTAATCACAGAGTCACAGTGTTGTTCGCACGAGTGAGTACTGCTGTTGCTTAGGATCACATCAGAATTGTGTTTTAAAATGCCAGGCTATTGGATGTATCTTGCTGGTAAGGCAGTTGAATAGATTTTGTAATCTGTGTCAGAAAAGGTTATGTCTGAAGTTTAAATTCTTTATATATTTCATGTAAGAATATTTCAGAACATTTCATATAAGAGAGAGTCTAACCTAAAAGAATGTTAAGATAATTCAACTGGTTTCTGCTGTTGTTGTACACCGTGGCTGCCTGAGCTTTTGCCTCCACTCTGTCACACATTTGTCCCTGTACTGAACTTCTTCAGTTTGGTGAGCCAGTGAAAAGCTGAATCATAAACACAAAAAAGAATTTCTGATGGTTTAGAAAGCAGAAGAAGGTGTGGGCTGAAACAAGTCCCAGAACTAGGACAGTAGAGAGGTCAGGGAATGGAGAGTGTCAGCCAGTAAGAAGTGAGGCTGCTAAGCCAAAGCAAGGGTAGGGACTATCATGTGCATAATTCTGATAAATCTTGGAGCTATAATGCTGTGCTATAACATCTAAAGGCCCTACATGATGAATCCAGAAGTAATCATTGAAAGTATTCAGAGGAAAATATTGCTTGTTAGTGATACTGTTGATATAAATCTTTATTCTGCCTAAATGCTATTACTATAGATTGTTGTTTTAATTTCATACAGACAATATGTCAGTATGGCGTGTTTATCTAGCACTATTTCTGAAGGTATATTTATGCTCTCTGGGCTGTGGATTGTTAAAGCCCATTGCTGTACTACCCACATGAATTTGTAACTCAAGCTATTTTAATTATAACTTGATAATAGTAATGGCTATGCTTGCTGTTGAAGGAGGAAGAATAATGCTAAGTGCAGGTGATTGCTATAAATCTCAAAACCAGGTAATCAGATACAATTTGATAATGTGTGTGGGATGAGCAATGTTCCATCCCAGCTGCCAGTTGAAGTAATCTCCCAAACTTATCCAGTAATACTAGTGAGCTAAAAAGAGTTTAAGAGAAGTTTTGGCTACTCATTTGTTGTAGGCTGAGCTACAGGTAGAATACTTAGATAAAATCTTGTCTGGGTTTTGAGGTCATGATTATCCATTTGGGACTTAGCTCTGCTGAACTTCAGATGAGGCTTAGGACCTACACTTGTTTATTTAGTTTTGAAAATACTGCTGGGTATTTTGATGCAGGGAAACTTGATCCAGTCTAAAAATGTATACTGGTTATCTACAGAAGTATAGTCTTGTATATATAGGGATACAGTGTTATCTTGTAGCAGTGTACTACAGAAGAAATGAGAATATGTTAATAGTTTTGAAGTGCCATTCACCTTAAATCTTTTGTTATTAGGGTGCATTGTTAGGGTGCACAGTTACTTTGTCTTGAAGAGGGCAGAATATAGGGTGTAGTTTATGTATTAAAAGCAACAAAAATGCATTTTAGAAGCCATTTTTTCTTTCTAGAAATGAACAACTTTCTGTCAACTAATAAATAAAATGAGTACAATTAATGTGGTATCAATGAGTACTTTTTTATTGTGTTAAAGCAACCCAGTCCCAACCGAAGAGAGGACAGGCCTGTCAGCTTCTACCAGCTTGGATCAAACCAACTTCAGCCTAATGTAGCATCCTTGGCAAGAGATGCAGCAAACATTGCTAAGGACAAGCAAAGAGGATTTATGCCAAGCATATTACAGAATGAAACGTATGGAGCAATACTCAGTGGCAGTCCACCTCCCATTCAACCTGCAGTACCTGTTACAAGTAGTGCACCTCCTCTACCTCCAAGGAATATTGGCAAAGGTACTAGAAAATATAATTGTATATTAGAAGAATAGGATCTTTTTTTTCTTTTAATAATTTTTAGGTTTTCTCTTACAGTTATTTAGCACAGGTAAGTATTGGAACAGTTATTGATGGCCTCATTTTAAATCCTTGAAGTGAGTCTACATGACGTGTTCTGAGTTTGATTTTTGGTATATCTGCAAGACAGCATATAATAGTGTTTGGGAAAACAATAGCCAGATAACCTCACCAGAGTTAAACCATTTATTAAAAGGATGGCTGCAGTCAATGTAGTTCATCAATTTTTTTTGTTATATTCAATCTTTTCATACTTCTGTTTCTTGAAGACGTCATTGTCAGAGTTCACTGTAAAGATAAAATTTCAATAGCATTTATGTGCTGTAAAAATTTGTTAAAGACCTCAGAGAATGGTGAGCGTATGCAGAACATGAGATTTTAACCTTGCAAATGTTTCTCTTAAATACATGCTTCAGGATTGTTGAAATAAAAGTGTATAAGTGTCATGATGTGGAGAACTGGATGATTTTAGTGACCTAATAGCTGGCTGAATATACAGCTGCCAATTACTGGTTGTCCCTAGATCATTAGAACAGTGTAAAAGTATTTGTTTCATCCTGATTCAGAGGGTTGCGTGCTTGCAAAATCTACCATTAAAGCTGCTGCGTGAACTTCATTCTTATCTTTATATGTAATCTGTTTGCATCATAGTAAAGAAACATAGAGAAATCTGTATAGGTCCTCTTAGTACAGGTCATATTCAATGTGTTTCATTATTTTAATACCTTTATTATCCACCATCTTTCATGGAGGCTAAATTTATGTATTCAATTCAAGAAAAGTTACTATTAAACACATGTTCTTTTATGGTGCTGTATTCAGACTCCATAAGAGAAGATATGATCAGGAAATGTTCTGGGCACACATGGGTGGCTTCTGCCTTTGGGAGCACTGTGCAGAGGTCAGAATGCAGGACTCCACACACCAGTGATTGTGCCTGAGATGGCAAACTGATCTTCTGTGTAATATGCAAAGTCAGTTATGGAATGGCTGGATAAAAGGGGCAGAAAAACTGAGAACAGCAAAGTGTGGTTTTGGGTTACTTGGAAAGGGTAGCATGGGACTGGGGGAAGTTTGGTTGCGTGTAAAACTTAACCAAGGTGGGATTGCTTTAACATTTCACATGAACTCTAAGCTTAATATCTAAACAACATATTTTACTTGATGGAAAGTAATGTCCTCCCCACCAAACAGGAAAATTTATACCAGGAGCTTGCCTGGTATGTTGAACTGTTAGATTCTATCTCTGAATTAGTAATACAATTGAGTAGTTAAAAAGACTGTTTTATCCTTTGATATTATTTTAATCATGGCAAATCATACCCACAGTTTGCCCTTGATTAAATGACACATTTCAAGAAGTGTCATTTTAATTTCATTCCCAACCCCAGACTTCTTGGCATCAGTGTAATAGAACTCATGCCATGAAGACATACTTCCTGCCTTAGATTATTACTTCATATTCTTTACTCTAGCAATGTATTAGCCTATTAATTTATATACTTAGTTAAAAGCTATAATAGTATCATTGACCATAGCTTCTTGTCAATTGCTGATGTTGTTAATGTTATGTTTATGGTGTATTATTGCTCCTTTATCCTCATAGCTTTAGGCTGTTTTCCAAGTCTTCTGAACCTTTTATGCTTTTCCCTGCAACCTAATACTTGTTCATAACTTACTCTGTTTCATCTTTTCTTAATATGATACTCATGTGCTCAGTAGGGAGAAATTGCATAATGTGTGCAAAATACTGGCTTTATAAAAAAACTTGTAGTGTGTTTTTATGAAAAGAGGAGGCAGCTCTTCAGAAGAAGTCATTTAAGAGGCTCTGAAGAAGTACTTTTTGACTGTTTCACAACTAGTTATTATAGTTTCTTGCTTGAGTGAATTCAGGTTTACAGTTTTATTTTGTTTCTAAGTCAAAACTGATGTTTCACTTTGAGGTAGCAATGTGTGCTCATGCTCGTGGAAGAGGGAGGTCCTTTTCTTGCAGTACCTGAGAAAATTACAGTTATCAGTCAGGGATTAAAGAAGGTGGCAAGACATGCCTTCTGCCTTCTTACTGAGAAATCTACTTTTTCAAGTACTGACGTATTTTAAATTAATGACTGGAGACAGATTTTGTTTAGGTAAAGTGTTAGAAGTTTCTGGGTGAAGTCTTGCTGTGTAATTTTTAACACCAGACTGATTTCTGCTCTGGCATTCCATCAGGATGCAGTGACTGTAGTTGATGAATGTAGTGTTGCTAAATATAGTGGTCTAGCCACACCATTTCTGAAAGCACGGGTGTGATTATTAACACTTTGTGCTTAGGGTAAGCAATAATAATAATGCAGTATTTTCCTCTCTTTTTAGTTCAGCCTTCAGTTCTTGGCAGTGGTATTCAGACAATTTCTTCATCTAATGCAATGTGGAAGACAAATTCTTTAGGAGTGGAAAGTATAAGCAGGCAGAGGTCTTCATCAGATCCACCAGCTATTCATCCCCCTGTGCCGCCATTGCGTGTAACATCTACAAGTATGTTTCCACTTTCCCCTGTTTTCCCTTCTACTGTATCTAATCACAGTTGGCTTATTTTTCCATTTCCACAACTCATACTTCCTCTTTTGGTGACTGTAGCTTTGGCCTATCGTTCCCATCCAGTAACAAACTGTCTTCTCTGATGCTCCAGTGAGGACTGTATGGTGTAGTGCAGGGTCAGCAAGAAACACCATACAGCTAAAGAGTTCATAATTTTATATATATATATCTATCTATATAGTTTTAGTGCTGCATTTCTTACTGGTTGTAAAGGTGAGTGTTACATGTCAGCCTGGGTCTGTCTCTCCACATTGTGCTTGATTCTTGCAGATCACTGGAATGCAAAAGGATGTTTTGATTCATTGCCAGTTGCTGTTGTGGTGATTTTAAGTATTCAATAGCAATTTTAATTACTTGCTAAACCTAGTCTGCTGTTAGTTGTGAATCACAACAAGATTTTAAGAAAAGATGTTCCTCTAAATAAAATTTGCCAGATATTACTTGCTTGGTTACTTTTCCATAAAACACAGACTGAAGGCATTGACTGAACAAATAATATTAGCACTTTAAAAAATGTATTCTGATCTACTGTTTTCAAGAATATGACTGACTTCAATAACAATTTTCTTTGCTTGCACTTTAATGCTTGAATAAATTAAAGTGCTTGTGAGGTCTCCAATTCGACTACGTGAAACAAAAGGTAAACCATTTTCCAAAGAGGTCCTCCCTCCATTACATGTAGTAAAGCATTTTTCTTACATAAGTCCTGTAACAGGGGAGCCTGTAATGAGAACCCAAGAAATGAAATGGTAAATAGAAATTTAATTCCATGTTTCTGTCTAACTTTCCTCTATAGATGTACTTTCTCCAGCACCACCACCTCCCGTGGCAAAGACAGCCAGCATTATCGAAGCTCTGAACCAGCAATCGAAACAGCAGCCAGCTCCTCCACAAAACAAGCCAACCCCACCACCACTGCCCCCACAACCTCCTAGCAGAATCTCTCAGAGAAAGCCTATTCCTGGGTAACTGGTGTCATTTTAGTCTTTAATATACTTCCATCATTTTTAGTAACTCAATATATCAATATAACATGCAATTATCAGTAAAGCATGCATGCTTTTGCCAATGATGTGTTCTAGAGTGTGGGAATGAACAGAAGGCAGATGCTAAGGACATAAATGATTACTGCAGCAATCAAGGATTACTACATTAAAAACACCACAGCCTAGTGATTTAAGGTTATATGACTTGCAAAATATCTCCAGAATGCCTAGCTGTGATGGAGATAAAAAACCATTAAAATAATCAATTCCTTATTCTCATCTAGTAGCAAATATGAGATAATGGGATCTAATGTCTGATCATTATTGTTATTGTTCACGTGCTTTACATAAGTTCTGTTCCATTGAATCTTTCCATTTGTAGCAGAAGTAGAGAGACCTGGAAATGAAAAAAAAACTTCTAAATTTGCAGAAAAATAAGTTAGGAAGGACATATGCACTGGAAAACAGGATCATATCCAAAGCATCCTTGAGAAACTGAAGGAGTAGTCAAGGGAAAAGAAGGGTGTCATTCAGTAAGCTACCTTGGTAATTAAAATCAACTACAGGGATTAAGCATGGAGAACAGCAGAGTATGAGTAAGCAAAAGTCCTTAGAAGAAGGATCTGTAAGGACATTCTAAGGCAGACAACCTAGTGCTGTTGTGGAAGAGTTAAAGAGTATAGTTTTAACTTAGCCTGCAAGCAATAGGAATTAATTATCTTGATTGTCTCAACATCAGTGATGCCTCAGCAGGACTGCTGTATTCAGTTTGGGGCATTGAAGTAAAATGAAATACTGAAGTGGGAACCAGGGGAGATCAATAAGGTAATGAGAAGTCTAGAAAATAGGACCTTTGAGCAAATTTTGGAAGAAATAAGGTTTCATTTGCAAATTGGGACTGAAAGATGAAAGAAACCTTGACCCTTAAGGTCCTTTCTAGCCCTTATTTTTACAGGTACCATAGTACCTAAAAGGTAGACACCAATTGTTGAAGCTTTCTATAATGTACAGACTAATATGGATGCATAATTTTAAGAAAAAAATAAAATAACAGTGAAAGGAACTTCAAATCTCAGGAAAAGACATGAATTGCAATAATCAAACCTGTATTATTTTTCTGCCTTACTTTTTTAAAATTAGGTGCAACTTTCAATTCACTTAATCAAAAATACAGAAGAAAAGTAGTACTTTAAAAACAAAATAGCTGTCACCAGATTTTACTGAAAACATGCCAAGGCTTTTATAATTGGGAAAGTATTCTGTATTGTTGCTTTTTGAGTTCTTGTTTGTTTCTGAAATGGACCAATTTCTCACTTTCTGCACAGGACTGAGAAGTCATCTGGCTTAACTAACAAAGGGCAGACCAGAGGACTTGGGTCTCTGCAACAACCTGGTAATTGTGGTTTAGAGATTTCTTTTATTATAGTTAAGCTGTCATAATCAATCAAAGGGAGAGTGTGGGTTTGTTGAGGTTTTCTTTGATCTGTTCATTTACCTTACAGATTTAAATATAATCAGTGCCAACATTGTTCTTCTTTCTGTTTGTGATTGTGTAGGCCCTGATGCCTCAAGTTCTTTAGCATGAGCAGAGCTCTGGGCCAAATAAAGTCAATAATGGGACCACGTAATGAACATAACCACAGAATGGTGGATGTTGGGAGGGACCTCTACAGGTTATTTGGTCTAACCCTTCCCTCAAGAAGGGACAGCAAGAGTGGATCATCCAGGACTGTGCCCAGAGGATGGAGACTCCACAACCTCTCTGGGCAACCTGTGCCATTGCTGTGTCACCTCACAGTGACAAAGTGTTTTGTGATGTTCAGACAGAGGCTCCTGTGTTTCAGTTTGTGTCCACTGCCTCTGGTCCTGCTTTTCAGCCAGGTGGCCACCAACATATATTGGTGTGTGGCCTGTTCATTCCCAAGTGCAGGACTTTGTACTTCATTGCTCCAGATTCTCCCCTGATGTCTGGACCAGATTTCCTGAAGACCTGTCTTGCTAGTACAGGCTAAGGCCAAGAAGGCATTCAATGATTTCCTGAAGACCTGTCTTGCTAGTACAGGCTAAGAAGGCATTCAGTAGCTCAGCCTTTTCCATGTAGTTTGTAACCAGAATCTCATCTTGTTCAACAATGGGTCCACATATTCTCTAATTTTCCTTTTATTCCTATGGATTTATAGAAGCCCTTCTTGTTATCTTTGATATTCCTTGCCAGATTCAATTTCAGCTAGGCTTTAGCTTTCCTAACCTCACCTTAAAACCCACTTAAACGAAGGAAGCATTTTGAAAATTTTTGTTTGCACTGTTGTTTGCATATGTCATAAACAAGGTGTCAGATACACATTTTAGAATAGAAAAATGTGTTTCTGGCTTGAAAATCCAGAGCTTATATAGTGTCACTTTTAATTATATTGCAAATTGATATTGCTCTTTTCATGTTCATAAACAGAGTAGATTATTCAGAGTTCATATTCATTTTGTGGTTTTTCCTGTTAGAAATAACTACTACTTTGGGACATGACAATAATGTACTCTCCATAAAATCTCTAAAATGAACTTTGTGCAGATTCTGTGGTGGTTGTAGTGGAATTTCTCCTACCTTGTTTGCCCTTCTACTATATATTTTGTATTCATTTGTTATTACTGTGATTCTTTTTCATTTTCTCTTGACATATCCCAGAGGAATTTGCTAATGGCTATCTGCCCTCTGTGTCAGGAGTCTCCTGTGAAGGATACAGCACCCTGATAATGATGGTCTTTACTAGGAAAGAAAGGTTCTACCAGCATACAGTCTGTAGTGATGGAAAGGGGGAATGGGATATTTGGTTCTGCCCTCATCTGTTTTATCTCTCTTATCATATCTGCACTCTTAATGTCATAGGTAGTTGTCTTTGGGAAAAGTGGCTTTTTTGGTAAGGAAAAGGATAGAATTCTGTTCCATTATTTAGAAAGAACCAGTAAAAATTAAAATACTCATGGGGTAGAAAATGATTTATATGCTTTTAAGTATAATTGGTTTGGTTTCAATTTATACCATCACTCTTACTTTTTTTTTTTTAAAATACTCATGGGGTAGAAAATGATTTATATGCTTTTAAGAATAATTGGTTTGGTTTCAGTTTATACCATCACTCTTACTTTTTTTTGAAAGCATGCCTAATATTTACTTGATTTATTTACTTTAGCAGGAGAGTCATCTTCTGTATGTGAAATTCCAGGAACACAGACTGGTTCTGCAGCAAATACTTTGGCACAAATCCAGCCACCAGCACCAATGCCAAGGAAATCACAAATAGTAAGTACAAAATGTGGCGTTTGATTTTAGTCATCTTCTGCATTCTATCAAACACATTGTAGACATGATAGTGTGTCCTGCCATGGTAAAAGTGTGAGAGCCATGAAACATGTAAGGCCTGTATCCTGTGTTTAAGTGTCTTGTGTGTGACTTGTACTAAATAGTTACAAAAATTTTTCTTCCTTGAATTTCCTGTGATAGGATATGTATGTGATTTTAAGTTTAAAAAAGCAAACCAAACCAGTTGGATTCTTTGTTCATGTCCAGATGTGACCAACGCAATCCACAGAATTAGGGTTGGACTTACTGGAGATAGATAAGCTTTCTGAGTTAGTGACTTGTAGGTCAACTTGGTTAGGCACTTCTAACATGGCTTCATTTTCAGTCTTCAGTGAAGTAAGTTATAAGGGAACTCCTATGATTTTGTAATGGACACAGATATACTGACAGTTGTTCATGTAGGTAGGTGAAATGACTTCAAACAAGACTAGCAGGAGTCAAACTCAAAACAAAAGAAACTCTTTCTTTGTGCTGTCAGTTCTCAGCATTCACTTGGTGGCAGGAGAGAAATCTCTTGGTAAGCATATCCCCAGCAGAAGGTGCTTAATTCTATCTTTTTCTTCTCCACCCTCCCCCAGCCTTACAGTGACTATTGGAAAAGACATACTGGATTTAGATGGACTCTTGATCTGATTGTGTGGCCTTTTTATACTCTTTACTTATTTTTAATCTAGGACCATGAATGTAACACATATTAGTGTCAGTACCTGTAATCTTATACTGGTGTAGGTAAAGGCATGTGTTTCCAGATGTCAGAGGAGCTGTACATTATGTGTAGTTAACTTGGTCTTTGGTCCTTGCTTCAATTTTATGTTGCTTTCTTGTGTGATAGTTGTAAAAGATCCATATCCTTGATCATGGCAGGATATCTCTGCAGGAAGCAAATCACAATATGTAGAGCCTGTACATTTCCCAGATGCTGTGTGTGACTGGGTATGAGCTGTTTCACACATTCTGTGCAGGAGTATGGTTCAGTAGTAAATAATAAGTAGAGAGGTAGGAGATGTGCTCTTCTGGGCTCTGCAATGGTCTTGTTAATGCTTGTAATGGAAACACCTGCTTCCTTCAGTCCCCTGTCTTTCTCCCTTCAACCATTTTTCCTTAACCATGTCCACTGAAATAGCAGCTTTCCAGGACAGAGTTTGGTGTGTTTGTGTGCATAGCCTTGCCATTGGTCTTGAGCACACAGGGCCCCTGTTACCTGTTTCTCATTTGATAATGATGAGAAGCCTCAGAGACATCATCTTGCGTTAGTTGGGAGTATAAAATTTTCTGGTTTCTTGCCTCCTCCACTCTTGTTCAACCAAGTTACTGTCCGTCTTGCATTAAAATAACCTTCATTTTTTAGGCCACAAAAAATTAAATGGTCTAAGTAGTGTAAATTGCATATGTTGTCATATTAACTTTGTGAAGCTACTGGATTCTGATCTTAATTTCTGTCGTATGTGCTGGGATTCAAGTGTTAAGTACTGCTTACATCCTTCCAGCACATCTGAAACTCCTAACCTGACACCTGACTTTCTGTATAATTGAAGTATATTTTTTTTTTTTTTTTAGATAGGACAAATTGATTTAGCTATGAAGGAATGGGCTGTGCTGGCTAGTTTTGGGGTCAGCATCTTCAATGTTTAATATTAATTGCACATAATATGAAGAACATATCTGACTCTCCAGCTGTCTCTAGGTCTTCATTAAGGTGAATTCTGTCACTGAGCAAATCATCTGGGTGATTTTCTTCTGTCATAGGACAGAGAAGTAAGGGAAAACCTGGCTCAGGAGTGTGTGCTAGTTAAGACGCTTTAGCTAAATTAATCTAGCTAAAGCATCTTAGCTGAGATTTAGTCAAGGGACCCTCAGCTAAAGAGCTTTACCTAGATCAGTCTAGCTAAAGTTCTTTGGCTAAATTGCTCCATTTAGCCTTATACTCCTGGCTTTTTTGCTATGTCTTTACCCTGCCAGGGAATCCAGAGGTCAGCCCAAGTTTAGAAAATGAATGCAGAATGCTCCTTGAGTAAAGAAAAGACAGGTCTAGTTGTACATGCACATTTAGCCAGTGGCTTATCTCCTACACAGTGCATTTACCCAATAGCCTGTTTATTAGGTGGAATTCCTGATTCACCTTTTGATTTCTTTTTTTTCCTCATTGTGATATTTAGATTTTTGAAACCATTTTGTAGATACATGGGAAATTTCCCTAGAAGACTTTATTCTTCTGGGAATGAGATCTATTTTAATTTCCTTGCCTTCTAAAGAACAAGAAATACCTGTAATTACTGCACTTTGAAGTTAGTAATTACATCACTGTTGTACTGATGTGATGCTTTTCCCTTTTGACCTAAAAGGTGGTTGTGGTTCAGACTGTCATTTGTCTAAGAGGGAGCGTCTGGAAAAATTGCTGTGCTGCAGTGCCAGGCTGGCAGCTCACAGGGATGAGATGGCCTCAGGGTGTGCCTGCCCTGGGCAGGCCACAACTTTATTTATATTAGAATTGAAATAGAATTTATACTAGAATGCAAATGAATGCTTCTAGAGGAGCATAACAATCATGCTGCCTCCATCCTTCCCCATCCACATTCCCTCTTTTCTCTGCATTGTGCTCAGCTCTAGCACAATGGCACAGTAAGAGACCATTGGGCAGCTCTGTCCTCAGCAGAGCATTTTGCTAATGGAGAAAATGAGAGTTGTAAACGGGGTCTCTTGTTCCTTTTCAAGCTGTCTGCTCCATGGCTGACCTAACTAGAGACTGGGACCAGGCACTGGGGGAACTCCAGTATGGTGATGAGGCCATCTTTTTCTTATGCCATGTGGAACTTCTGTCCCAAACAGCCACTGCATTAACAGTCATCTCAGACCTAAATGGCACTTACACCTCTGCTCTGACACTTGAGGGTAGAAAGTAGAGATTTTTGTTCCCTATGGCTGGGAAAAGGGTGGACTCATGGTAGAAAGCTTTACACTCTGCCTCCAGCTCTTGAGCCACTTCATTTGTTGGGTTGTTTTGCATGGAAATGCTGTGTAGGCAGCATTATTGTTGGTCTGCAGCAGAGAATGAGGAGGCTGAAAAGAAATGCAGCAGCAGACTGGTTTGCACTGGAAAAGGTGTGAGGTGAGGAAAACCAGTCTGAAACAATTTTGGTATCACTTTGCACAGAACATAGCTAGGACTGAGTCCCACTGCCATACTGGAATATTGCAACTCCTTACTAAACTTTACCTTTGAAAGAGCTGCCAAAAGACTTCTGTGGCTGGCGGTCCTCAGAGCACTGCTGGGAGGCAGAGGATATTTTGCTGCGAGGCAGAGGATATTTTGCTGGGTTCTTGCACCACTGAAATGGGTTTAGCAAATTAAGAAGGAGAATATTGGCACATGGCTCAGGCCTCACTCTGATAACGCTGCTGCTGTTACATTTGCACAGAATTTGATCACCCCATCTCCTGAACAAAATCATGCTCACTGCAGTGATGTAGAGCTTTGAAGACAGAGGGTGAGCCCTCTGTAGGTTTGGGTGAGCCAAAATGGAGAATTTGGCTTACCCAAAACATGGCCTATGTTTGGCACAGTGGTTCCAAAAAGCTTTGGATGGTGCCAGATTCAGCCTGAAGCATGAGCACCCAGCATACAAGATATAGCTGAACTCTAACCTGTGAAAAACAGCAGCTGGAAGCAGTTCTGAAACTTTCTTTTAAAAGAAAAGTTTTCTTTAAAAACTCCAAGTTGTCTACTTTGTCTCTTCTGTGCTGTATTATTTACCCTCAGGGTTTTTTTTTCATTTCAGTCAAAAACTAAACCCAAGAGAGTAAAAGCAATTTACAACTGTGTAGCAGATAACCCAGATGAGCTGACTTTTGCAGAGGGAGATATTATTGTAGTTGATGGTGAAGAAGATCAGGAGTGGTGGGTGAGTATTTTGCATTTTCTGTCAACACACTTTGAAAGAAAGAAATTAAATCTTCGAGGTTGGCACTCATTTTGGAAGATCCCCTGCTGGGTTTCTAAAGAACAAGAATAGTTTCAGCTCATGGAAACCGGAGATGAAATTTCAAAAGTCAAACTTATAACAAGCTTTTAGCTTTTCTCACTCAGGGGGAAAAAAATGTATATCTATATCTGTATCTATATCTATATCGACATAGATCTATATATCTATATATATCTGATCAGTAGGGTTCACAATACACTGGGGATGGTCTCTGTGATCCAGAAAATGTTTGGCAGAGTGTCAGCAATGTAAGAATCTGCTATTACAGGTGCTATGTTTCTGTCCTGGTTTGGGACAAACTTGGAAGGGAACTTCCAAAGGGATGTTCCCTAAAGGGCAGAATTCAGTGGCCCTTCACCCCACCTGTTTGGGAGATAAGCCTCCTTCAAGAAAAGTGGAAAAAAGACTTTATTTAGAAAGCAAAGTACTCACAGACATGATAAAATGAATAATATTAAACAATGGAACCTCTGGTTCTGAAGAGATGGCAGATTCAGAGGGTCCTTTTTGTGGGGTGTAGCTCAGCTGGCTCAGTCTCTTATCAGTCCCTCCTGTGCTGGAAATGCCACGTCCTGGGCCCCGGTGGGCCACAGGCGTGAGCTCACAGTGATTTTCTGGGTTTTTGGTCCAAAGCAGGGCTGAACAGTTCCAAGAAAAAGAAAAGCCACAGTCCAGGGAACTTGTCTGCCTCAGCTAGCTAAAAACTAAATAAAAGCAAAGGAAAGCTCTGTCCTGTGCTGCAGACAACACACACCGAGAGAGAGAGCTGAAGCTCTTATCTCTGTGTTTTGAATACAGTCTCCTTAGACATTCCAGCAATTCTCCTTCTGCCTCCCTTAGCTCTCAGATCTAGTTTTAAAGGTGCTGATCTTATTTCTGGGTTAAACAGACAGATGGGGATACAAATACAATACGGCATCCTAAAGTCACTCCAGGACAGCATCAGAGGAGAGCTTTGTATTGTCCTCAGTCTTCAGGTGACTAGGACTGAGTTTGTTTGAGCTGGGAAACCATCTCAAGTTTTTGCATTGCAGAGTCTTATTGGCTAAAGCAAAACCTTGGAAAATTCTTGTGCATGAAAACACTTGCCTTAATCTGTTAGCAAGCTCTGTTCCATTGAAGAACAGAGCTTTAGATTGCATCTAAATTGACAATAATGCTGTATAAACAGAAATAAGTTAACATAAAACCTGAAACTGTTGAAGCTTGATTCATCCTTTTGCCTCACAGTGATGGTTAAAGAAGCAACTCAACAGAGGCCAAATGTGGGCTGCTAGGCATTACAGATTGCATTGGAATTATGCAGCAGTGGTAATGCAGTAAGATGTTGTATATTCAAAGAACTGGATAAAACTTTTGCATTTGACAAAAACCCAACCTATAGCTGAAAAACATGCACCCAGTTTTCCTATTGGCAGAAGAAAACTAGCACTACCACAGAAAAGATTTGGTGGGAGGCTTGTACTACAGGCAGGAAGGTCACTGGTATTCATTTTGGTGATACTGAAATGTTGTTTTGAGATTTAACTTGAAAAATATCTGGACTCTTTCAGATTGGTCATATTGATGGAGATCCCAGTCGGAAAGGAGCTTTCCCTGTATCATTTGTGCACTTTATTGTTGACTAAATTGCTACTGATAAGTGGAGACATTTCTCATTTCCAGCAGTCACAGAAATAAGTTTTGTTCTGTTTCATTTCACCTACTTATCCGCAGCCGCCTTGTCAGAGCACTGCCCAAGTCCTAGGTACTGTAGCTTACTTTTTTATTGCCATTGTTCTGGTTTGGGGACTTTTTAACTTTTTTCTACGTGAAAACTTCTCATAAACAGTTTACACTTTTAAAAAGAAACAACTCTTCCTGTATTTTTCAAGGTGAACTGAAAAGCTTTAACAATCAAAATCCACGTGTCTGAATATCACATTATGAATGTTCCTATTGATCAATTCACTGTAATTTTATTCTCCCTTTTGTAACATGACAGTACAACAGTGCAGTGTTGCTTCCCCAGTTAAAGAAATTGTGTGTGCATCTACCAGGGCAGTGAACTTATCCAGTTCTTGACACCATTTGAAGTGTTGGAACCAAAACATGCAAGCTGCTGTGTAGTTCTGAAATGGACTTATTCAGTAGCTTGCCATAGTGGCTGTCATCAAGGATGCCAACAGTTGCAGAAGAAATTGTTTCAATTATGTGTCTTTGGCCAGGTGAAAGCAAAAAAGTACTTCATTTTACCACAGGAGAAACTTCTTTCTTTCAGAATGGATGTAGATATTTGCTTAAAGTTATCTGAAATCTGTGTTAGTCGTTGAACTTTCTAGTTCTAATTTTGTGAGCTTGAGACTGTTTTGTTTTTCTATGCTGCATGTGTGTAGAACCTGTTTTTTGAATGTTCTTTATGTATGTTACATCCATTTTGGTCATTTAATGTGACTACTGCTGGTAAACTAAACTATGGCAAATATTAATGAGTTACTACATTAACTCAAGGATTTGAAAACTGCACTTCCTGAAATGTACTTAACTATGATGATGGATTGCAGAACATTTCTTATGCTTGTCTCATTATAGCATTAAGTCTTTGTTTTTAAGTTCTTGAATTTTCTTTAAATTATCCAGCAATGTGTTCACAGAGGGAACATATTTGGTGGAACAAGTAGGCAATTATCCTTGGTCAATAAGATACCTGACACCTCACAAGTTCACTACGTTACGTTCTGGTTTATGAAATTTGTGTGCCACTACCTTGCAAACAATGATAGTTTGCCAACTCACTCTGTATTTATATAGAATACCCGCATATATGGTAGCTACACTGTTGTTAAACTCGTTTTGCTGATTTGTGAACAAAAGCTAGGCCATGGATAGTTCCCAGTTGGTTGATGGAATTTAAAACACCAATACAGATCTGACATCATTTTGATGTTTGTGTATTGTGAAATTGTACCAGGTTTTGCTTATGCTACAGGAAACAACTGAGGCATAGGATACAGAAAATCAATATCTAGGTCACATTGGCTTTGATCACGTTATGTGAACATTGTATCTCTAGATTTATCAAGAGAGCTTTGAATTTCTGGCAAATGGTGCTTAAATTGGCCATTTCATATTGGAAGGAATGGAAAACAGGCCACGACCACCATCTGTGCTTATTTGGAGAAAAACCACGTTGCGAAAATGCTGGAAGAGCAACGCTGGTCTCACCCTGTGTCACCCTTCCTGAATGGTACCGTTGGTTGATGCCTCTCGGGCGTGTGGGTACAGCCACGTAGATGTGTAACTTTTACTTCCTAGATGCTGTTGCTGCAGTATAAATGGGGAACAAACTGGAATGTTTCAAGATATTTTTATTGCAAGTTGAAGCAAATTAGTCTGTATTTTCAAAGTTCCCAGTGAAACTATAGAGTAATAGTTTAGCACTACAGTTTTATTCACTTACTGATATGTTCAGTTTGCAACACTATTTTGTATGTTTCTATCCCTGATAGAGTCTAGAGAGTAAATGGGCATATTATTTTGCACAGATCTCCTAATGTACAGTATTTTTAACACAGAATCTTATAGTGTATGTAACAATTCGTAACATTAAAAAATGATACAAATTTCCCTTGAGTTCTGCTAGAAGAGGAATAGGATAAAATGTCACAACTTTGTTCACCGGTTACTTAAAAACCAGGAAACTTGTCGACTACAATTTAATAGCACTAACAGTGCAGACAGGTAAAATCCCACGGACCAATAAAGAGCAGCTAAGCAAAATTTATCCCTTGATTTTCTGAGTTTCTGAAAAGCTTTTCTCCTCTGGCAGAGAAAAATGAAATTCTAGAGCCTGTAGATATCTATTTATAATATGAAATTAAGAATTTTAAGTCCAAAATTTTGGCATATTTCATACAACTTTTCAAATCTGATTCAAAAAATCTGTTAATAGACAGACTATTAGGTTGCTGTGTTAACTGTTTAAAAAGGAGCAAGTGACACTTAAAATGCAGCTTAGAATGCTATGAGATGTATAATATTCAATTCAGTTGTTTTTATTTTGTTTAGTTGCAGAGCAACTGTATATATTGTATAACCTAAAATCAACTCTTATTTTCAATGTCCTGGATGCAGTGATTTATAATTAGAGCATGATTAATAAATTTTACTCTTGTTAACCAGTCAAATGTCTGGAAAAATAAAACTACTTTTAAAATCATTTTTTCTGCTTCTCTTCTGTTGCCCTGTATTGCTTATGCATTATTGTTCTTTTTGATGTATAAAAATGACAAATACAAACAAGTATCACTTCAGGAAAAATGTATTTCTTATGAACTTTAGTTGAACAGAAAAACAGTAGATGGCACACCTGAGATTCGAGGGGTAAAGCACCTCTAATATCTGGGTTAAGCAGAATCAAAATCTGTATTAACAAATTATTTCTCAGACAACGAGGTAGAAGCAAGTGTCAGTTTTATTTTACATTTCTGCAATATTGACATTAACATACAAAACACGATTTAGGAAAAAGAAATTGTGTTAAATATAAAATTCTGTAATGTCCTGGACACTGAAGATGGAATCTTCAAGTCATGTTTGGGGAATGCCAGAGTACCATGTGCAAGGCTGTGTGGCTCTTCTTTGCACAGAGATCTTTCCCAGGATGGTGTGTGGCTCCAAGCTGTCCGTGGTGTCGCGAGGAGCCCCGGTGCCTCCCACACAAACACTGCTGCCGAAGGAAATCAGGACTTCTCCGACATTAGAACTGAATCAAAGGCTGTAGACAACACTTTGCAAATGGCTTGTGCTTGTTCCTAAAAAACCCAAACACACATGTTAACACCTTCTGAAGAACTTCTGAACTTCCCAAAACTCATTTAAAGCAGAATGTGTCCTTCATTTTGCTTTGTGAGACCCAGATATCACCTGTGTGGCCTGCAATGACATGAAGGAGCTGTCTTACACGAGCTCTTTTGAACCACATCAGAGTTGCTGGCTGTCAGCATAGCACGGCCCCAGCATTCAGAACCTCACTTTTTGTGTTTCCCCAGCGCTGCCAGCCAAGGGCCAGTGCCATCAGAGCATCCTGACAATGAATTCTCCTACTCATAAGAAGGGATTACCTCACTTGCTTACAAATATGGTTGCATGCTTTCTTACCAGACTTGTTATTCCATCTCTTCCTGCTTCACATCTTAAAGAGATTTTTGTTTTGTTTGGAAATACAAGTGGAGATTGTCCATAGGTGCTGCCATAGCACCCTTTAGACTGGACAGAGCTTTCTCAGGTGAGTACAGTCACTGGCAATTTTAGGGAATGTAGGTATTTTCCTCAAAGTTGATCCAATCTAGGCAGCAGGGATGTTTTCCCCTCTTCAGCCAGCACATCTTTTTTTTTTTTTTTTTTTTTTTAAGTTAAGCAATCCTCCTTCTGCCAAAAAGCCTTTACAAGGGCCTTGGATTTTAGAATCTCCCTTTACTGGAGTCAGAATTCCAATACCTAACTTAAATATTGAAAGCATAAACTCTTACCAAACTATTGCACTGATATACCCAGAGGCTGCATTCTTCAGAGGCTGCATCTGTTGTCTTCAAAGCCAGTAAACTTTTTCCTGCTCCCAGACCATCGTCATAGCACACCATCCTTACAATCAAATAGAGGGCATGCCTATGTAACACATCCTGAAAGCACATGGCAAATAAAAGTTACTCTGGAACAGTGCAACAGATATTTCAGTTTTCCATGTTTTTATTCTTACTTACAAAAGAATACTTTAGATTTATTTAAAGGAGAAAAGTTTTCCTGAGTATTTTTTTTTTACTTGAGAGTTTAGTCAAGATTTTAAAAACTGGTGGCTAAGCACAAGTTTAGCTTTAATTTTTGCTGCTACTTTAGAAGTGCATTCCTATGTGAACTATGAAGACAAACTGAGAGAGTTGTTCAGCCAGAGAAGAGAAAGCTCTTGGGGGAGACTTTGGGGCACCTTCCAGTACCTGAAGGGGGTCTGCAAGAGAGCAGGAAAAGGACTTTTACAGGGGCATGTAGTGACAAAAAGGGGATTTGAATGGCTTTAAACTGAAAGAGTAGGTTATAGTAGGTTAATGAATTTAAGGGAAGAAATTCTTTACTATGGGAGTGGTCAGGCACACCTTGCTCAGAGAAGCTGTGGATGCCCAATCCCTGGAAGAGTTCAAGGCCAGGTTAGAGGGGCCTTTGAGCAACCTGGTCTGGAGGGAGGTATCCCTGCCCATGGCACGGGGGTGGAACTAGAGAATCTTTCAGATCCCTTCCAACTCAGCCCCTCCCATGATTCTATGGTGACATTCCTGTCCATAATCTGAAAGTGCACATCACTTCCCAGCAATCCTCACTCTGCCTCTGTGACAGGTGGGGACACTGTCCTTCTGGCACAGCAGTAACTTAAAACAACTTCTTACTTTCCCAGGATTTTTCCCCTGTCTCAGTCTTGGGGAGGATACACACAAGAAACTGTTCCCAGAAGAGGGTACAGACAAGGTCAGTTGCTTTGGGGGGCAGTAGCCATGTGGCTGTAGCCAGGCTGTTTGTGACCTAAACCACGGGATGTGTCCTGACTTTTCCACATATCTCATCTGGGAGAAATCCATCAGAGCTGCAGGATTTCCACCATAGTCCCAACACTTCTGATTTTGGCCATTCCAGAAAGGGATTGGTAGAAGACACCCAGTACAAGGTCTCTGGAGCTGTACTCTACACAAAGCCTTTCTTCTCCAGCCATCCTGCCCTCTGATCATACTCATCTGGTCTATTCCAGTCATGCCATGTCCAGGGTCTCAGGAATTCTAGACAGCTCTGTTTCTGTGTTCAAGGCATCAAACAGCTGTCTCTGCCAGCTGAAGGGTCTGAAGAAATGCCCACTTTGATACAGAAGCTGTAAAAATGGGCAGTGAGCTTGCTGCCTGCCTTGGAACCCTGGAGGGAGAGACCTCCACCACAGCCCTAAGGTCACCTTGATGAAAAATATCTCCATCCTGAAGCTCTCTCAGCTCACTGCTCACATTGCTCTCACCATCAGCAATATCACACCATGCTCAGGGCAGCTGGAGCCTGCCTGGAGCTTACTGCATCCATCCCCCCATCTCTGTAAGAAAGATGCCAAGACTGTTCACCAAATTACTAGTAACTCTCAGGGTTGCTTGCTTGGAACTTGCTACAGTGCTAATGTGTTTGGGAATTATCACTAAAAGAGGGATGATAGAATTCTTTTGAGTAGAGTCTCCTTGTAAATTAATTTCTTCCCATCTTTTCAGTATCTTGGAACTCTGTGAAAAGAATTTGGTGAACTAACACACAGAAGGACAAGTTAAATGCCTACAGTGACACAGATGCAAAAAGCCAGAATTTGGGGAACAATGCAATGCAACAAATTGTCAGTGCAAGCTAGCTTAACCACAAAAGGCTTTATCTGCTTGTGCGTGCTTGAAGACAGAAAAGCGATGGATGAAAGTCTTAAATTAGCTATTTGATCTTTACCAACGCACAAAGGAATTTAAATAATAGTGTAACCTATGTTTTTAATGAGAATTAAGAATTCAGGAGAGCAAAAACAGAATTCAAAGTCTGAATAACAAGTACTACCCTTCCTCCCAGGCATTAGAAACAAGTGTTTTATTTTCTGAAGGGACCAAAGGAAACTTTCTGGCTCTCTTCAGAGCATTCAACTTTAAGCAATGCTATTCTCTGTGCTCATACTTGAGGCTTTCATGAACAGGCATCGCTGGGTTGTTGATGGGTCAAGGCTTCCTAAGGCCAAGTATTTATGGTATCTGGGGCTCTGAGGGCAACCAGAAGGAAACCACATGGCTGCAACACAAAGCTACACAAAGGCAACTGGAAGGCCCTGGGGAAGAGACCGGATTTTTATATTTAGCAAAGAAGCTACTTGAATTGCACTAAGGGAAAATAAACTACATAAAGGAAATGATGCAAACAAAAGGTAGGCTTGATCAATAAAGTGGAATCATGAGGCCTTATTGCTGGAGTGAACTGGATTGCTGGATTAGGAGTGCAAGGAGGGAGCTTTAAAAGAGCTGGGCAACTCAAGTATTCTTAGAAAAACCCCATCCTTTTTTTCCCCTCTTCACAGAAACACCAAGAGGAACTGCCTTACCAAGTTGGGCTGAGGCACCTATGGTCTTGGCCATCACAGTCACACCACTTTCCCCCATGAAATAATGGTGCCCAGAGAGTATTACCAAAGACTTGCTTGCCTTTTGTCTGGTGCTCTATCTCAAAAGGAACAGCTTTTTGTCATAAATCCAGGAAAACACAGCCTGTGGAGATATGACATGAAGCAGTGCTGCTGGGAGAGCTTGTTTTGCTTAAAGCCAGAAATGACATTTTGGTCACACAGATCATCTACCAGAGAAGTAAATGAAAGCACTTTTCAACTCTCATAAGAAAGACAAGTTGGGTGGAGCACTTACATACTGATCAGATGTGGAAACTTTAATGCCGTATTTGGAAACTCCCATAATAAACTCCTCTTCACCTGGAACAAAAGGTAACTTTCCATCTTGCTTTGGAGGGAAACAAACAAAAGCCTTTAGTGCAGACAGAAGAACATGAACAAGGAAGATACATAACAGAAAACATATTTATGTGTACTTGGATCCACTGGGTCAGCACCACCACAACCCCTGCTCAGGTCCTGCTGCGTGGGGTCTGCCCAGCGGTGATGCGCTCGCCCAGTCACTTAAGGTTATGTGAAATACATTCAGGGGACACTGGACATTAGGAGGCATTTCTTTACTGAGAGGGTGACCAGACACTTGAACAGGCTTCCTAGAAAGGTGGTTAATGCCCCAAGCCTGTCGAGTGTTTAAGAGGAACTGAGTCAATGCCTTTTACAGCACGTTTAACTGTCTGTCAGCCCCGAAGTGGTCAGACGGTTCGGACTGGTCACTGTGGGTCCCTTCCAGCAGAAACACTCTATTCCATTCTGCTCTATGCTACTCTAAATATCACATGGTTCCAGAGAGGAATTTGTCATCTCAGGGGAGAGTCTGGCCCTCTGGTCAAATCACGTTGGCCGAAAAATCATGCCTGGCCTATCATGCTGCACTGGCCCAGGGTGATCCATGTTCCACTGGCAGCACTTTGACTGCTTGGCTGCAAAAATAGTTTTAGCAAATTTTCAGAAATGGCAAGTTGCTACAGGATAAACAGACATTCTGTGCTTTTAAAAATATATAATCAGCTACCTAATGAGAACAACCAGTTATGGCTTTCAGTACAAAAGTCAGTACAATCAACCAGAGTTTAGCAAGGATGACCCAAATATTATTCAGGTTCTTTGGTCACAGGTTCATGAGTGATGAAATTTGCAGAAACTAGACATCTTCCTCTATGGGAAAACTTTTACAATACTGAGGAATCTGGGGAGATATTCCTTCTAATCCTAATCCTAATTGTGCTGGAGGCAATGTAACAGCTTTCAGCTGGGACTTGTTCAATAAGGACTCATGCAAAGGGCCTTGGCTCTGAGCCTGCTTCTGCAGAATGGTTCTCTGGGTGCATCTTCTCCAGTGACCTAAAAATTATAGAACTGTGATGGCTTTTGAGATTCATAGCTTAAGAGCTAAGTATGCCACTTTCTTCAAGTAAGTCTAACATTTACAGATGTCAAACCACAGGATAAATTAAGAAAAAATAAAAAACACATCTAAGTTTAAGATGTTTTGACTTTGTTGGTATTGCCTTTTGTAGCCCACTTACCTGTGCAACATCTATGTAATTTATCAAGTCCAGTGGCCCTTCAAGACTTTTGCTCTCATTGTATTTCAATTTTTCAATGGCACCAACATATTTAACTCTGAATTCTGCACATGTATCAGAATTACTATTGCTTTGTCCTGCAACAAAGTAAAATAAAGCCATTCTGAAGACTTCCAGAACTGTAATGCTATTCTAATTGCTGTTAACAGGGCTAACGTAATAATTCCCCAATTTTGAAGACTCTCATCAAACACTTATCACAGTACATTAACTCCTCTTTAATGAACTCTACTGGGTTGATTTAGAACAGACCCTTGGTAAAGGCAACAGTTTTGTATGCATACATAATATTTCTATAAGCAGCACTGTTTATACCAATTCAAATCTGGAGTTAACAACCTTGAATCAGAAAACATAAAAAAGCTGGTTCTACTTTTTGAGGTCTATTTGTTTCAAATTAACTGTTTCGTCCAACAGTAATACACTGGTGACTAAAAACAATTAAAATCAAATCTTATTTCCATTATTTTGGTGCAAATGTAAACTTAGAAAAGCAGAAAACATCCATCCAAAAAACTGTACAAGAATTGTGCTAGTAACAGACTGGTAGCACAACTAAGTTGTTCTTCCTCAAACACTTTACTTTGAAAACAGTGACTCAGTCCTAGATGAATTATTAATAATACAAGCCTAGGGCTGTGCCTGAATTAGTCACCAGGCTACCTAACAGATCCACTCAGTATTACTGAAAATACCTATCTTAAGCTTTTCCATTTTCTGCTGTTTTATACAAAGACAGAAAGTTAATCCTGCTCCATCCATACCTGCTCAAGCTCTGATTACATACCTGAACTTTTTGTGGAGTCGGTATCTAGGCTGGCCACAGTACTAGACCTGGAAAGTCCCCCAAGACTGGAATCTACAGACTAAGAAAAAAAATCATCATCATCAGAAAGTTACTGAGAATGTATTAATAATTCACTTCTAGAGGTCCTGCCTCAACTTTTTTTTTTTTTTAAACCCTACACTTTACGCTCTAGTTATTTTCAGCAGCACTGGAAAACAGGGAGGAAAAAACAGTACCACCTGTGTCTTTCCTGAAGTTATCTTTGTGCCTCAGAGCAGATTGGACTGATAAAAGTTCATCAGGAACCACTGAGAAGTCCACAGATATTTTGAAAGAAGGAGGAAATGACAGAAGAAGATAAAACGAACCTTAAGGTTATGTCCAGGGAAAAAGGAAAAATAAACCTTAGGGTTATGTCCAAATTTTTCTGGTACTGCAATTTTACATGAAGAAATTGACAACTACATGCTTGTCACCAATACTTAAAATAACATCGCAGTGCAGGGGAAAAGAAACAGCACCTTAGAAAATCCAGAATATTCAAGTGATCATTCTAAAACCAATCAGACAAAACAAACACATTATTCAAAATTAAGAATACTTTTAGAGATACTGAGAAACCAAAAAGTACTGAAGAATAAACCTATTCTTGGCACCTAGCACCAGGCACTGTTCTTAAAGACAAAATTTAAGAACAAATGTACTAATTTTTCCTTCAAACCTTTCTATGTGCTGCGAGAAAATCTTGTGTTTGTGCAATTCACTGTGGAAGTGACTGAGGATTGATCTCAGAATACATGGGCTTTATGACTGATAGGTATTTTTAACTCTCATAACACAGTCTGAGGAATGGAAGTAGAAAGTTCTCTTTGTGGAACATGGCATTTTATGGAAATCACACCCTACCATCAGTGCAAGCGAACCACTGAACTGTTAACTTGAACAAACCCAAGTGCTTCACGAAGTGAATAAACACCAGATCCAGCTTACCTTGCTTTTAGTGCTGATTTCACTGCTCTGTGAGCTGCTGCTGCTGTGTCGCTTTTTTCCTTTTCTAAACATTTTTTCATAATTGGATCAAAGAAGATCTTCTAAGCAAAAAAAATTAAAATTAAAGTCTTTCAAATCATCAAGGGAAGGAGGTCCAGGCAAATACCAGTGACTGTGTCCAAAGTGGACCAAAACTGGAAATTTGCTCAGGACTCTGTGAATGGAGGTAGGAATTTTACTCTGGTACTCTTCATGCGTGACTGGGGAAAGTTCCTCAAGCTCTCTGCTAAAACTTCCCTATCCTTCTGAATTGCCAAAAAAAGCTACCTAGTTTACACCATATTGCAAAGGTCAGTTTCTAATGCATAGACAGATTTAGAAACAAGGCAACATTTAAAATTTATTCCCACCTAAATGTTAGGTGATTTTTATTTGTGAGTACAATCTAAGTGCCCCATAAAGTGGACACAACACATTCCCTGCTGCAACGACCGTGTATCCAGTAAAACAAAACAAAAAGCAAAATCTACCTCCCCTGCCACCGCCCGACTAAACACCCCCCCACAACCAAGCAAAAAAACCACAAAAAAACGCCGAATCCCAACCCCAACCTACTTCTGAACAACTACTGACTGGAACACTCCCAGGAGCAGCCATTACCACTTAAGATATTCCTGAAAATTAAGCAAAATGCGAGGTACATTTATTGCGTTAGAACAGAGCTCCTGGCAGTTCTGAGAGGATTCCAGGGCCCTGTTTCCCGTGCCTGCCCCACTAACACTCGCTTCACTTCAGCTTTGGCTGCCCACTGTCAAGCAACAGGATGCTGGCTCCCCGTTTCTCTCAAGCCCTATTTATCAGCTTCACAGACGAACTATTTTCATTACAAAACTTCAGAAACTTTGAGCAGGTGGAAGAAAGAGGACAATGCATGATGACAACCTACGGAAGACGGCTCATGCTGCAGAAAATAAAGAAGCACGAGGCGGAGCTTAGACGAGCGATGCCGTGAGGGGTCCCAGTCCCTAGGCCGCCGCTGTTCCGCCACCAAGCAAACACGGGGTCCCTGGCGGACTAAAAGCCACTGAGGGGAGCCAGCGGGGCGCAGGGCGGGGCGGTGTCCAGCACAGCCCCGAGCCCCGGCTTCCAGCAGGGATGTGCCGGCGCCTCCCGCACAGCGCCCGCGGCCGCTCCGGGAGCGCTGCCGGCCCTGCAGCGGCTCCCTGGAGGCTCCGCACCCGCTGCTCCCGGGCGAGCCGGCTGCGTTACACGGGCCCTCATAGCCCCCGGGCTTTCCGCGGAGCATCTCTGCTCCTGCGGGTGCAGGGGGCGGCCAGGGAAGCCGGGCCGGGCAGCACCGCATCCCGCCTTCACTTCTCTCCCCGTTCCTCCCTCCGTCCCCGGCCGATAACCCGAAAAGTGACAGAGCGATGTGGGCGCTGCTCACCGGGCGCGCCGGGTGCCTCAACTTCCCGCTGCCGATCCCGATCTCGCTCCCGTTCCCGCTGCCGCCGATGCCGTTCCGGGTCGCGCGGGCGGCGCAGGCGCGGCGGGGCGGCGGAAGGCGGCGGGAGCGCGGCGCCATGGCGGCCAAGCGCAAAGCCGAGGCGCTGATCCCGGCCGAGGAGAGCGACCAGCTGCTCATCCGGCCCCTGTGAGCGCCCGGGGGAGCCGGGGGGCGCGGGGGGCCGGGCCGGGCCGGGGCGGGCCGGGGCCGGGGCCGGGGCAGCGGCAGCGGCAGCGCCGCCGGGAGCCGCCTCTTTCCCTGGTGAAGGTGCCGCTGCAGGCTGAGGGTGTTGGTGGTAGCGTTCCCACAAGCGCTGTTTTTGGGACAGCATGGAGCTGCTACTCCAGGCTTATTCGGCCCGATTTGTTACTTTAATTGCACGTGTCAATAGTATTTAGTTTGAGACTCGTGTGCTCAGGGGAAAAAAAAAAAAGGCCAAAATAAGTTCCTTAAATAGTTTGGTTGGTTTTTGTTTTTTTTTTTTTTTTTTTTTTTTTTTTTTTTTTTTAAATTTCTGCTGCGTTATGTTGGGCCTCGTTTCCTTTGGGATAAGTACAGCTGTTCATGTATTTTGGATAGCTGAGCTTAAAAGGGCCGTGCAGTTGTTATTTGTACAGTGAGAAGTGATCCCAGTCAAGGCATCGGTGCGGAGTGGGTAGTGGGTTGTTTCAGTCCTCATGACTTTGATATCCCTTTGCAGAGGGGCTGGCCAAGAAGTAGGAAGGTCATGCATCATTCTGGAGTTTAAAGGAAGAAAAATAATGGTAATTATTGCATGGATGTGTTTGTATGCCCTCTCAGTGTGCTACTTCAGATCACCGAAATGACCTGAAATGTTGCGGGTTAAAATCAGCCTCTGCTCTGAAGTCAGACGTGGTTCTAGAAAAGGCACATTCTGTAGCCTTCTGGAGCAGTGTAGTATGTATGACATTAGGCATCACAGAGGCTGTGCTGTAAAATAAAATCCTCTCCCCATACAGAATGTATGTGCTTCCAACCCAAATATTCTGCTTGAAATCCAATGCTAAAAGTAATAGTAAATGAAGAAAAAACTTATTTTTTGTGATGCTAAAAGTTACCAGTCACTAATAACTATATTACAGACCAAGATGGAAGAGGGTTTTTTTATACATTCTATTAGAAACTTTAACTTTCTTTCATTTTTCAGCTTGACTGTGGAATCCATCCTGGGCTGGAAGGAATGGATGCTCTTCCTTACATTGATTTGATAGATCCAGCTGAGATTGATCTCCTCCTTATTAGTCAGTAAGTGGCACCTAAAAGCACAGATAACTTGAGGTCATGGTCTGAGCTGTGTTCACTTGTAGGTTATTAAGAGAGGCTGAAAAATAGGTGTTATTTAGATGGTAGGGAAAAACTCTAGTTTCCAGGTTTTTAAAAAAAGTTTGAAGGATCTCCGTTTAGTATTAAGGACTGAATATTGAGGATGTTTGTTCACTGTTGACATTACAGCTCTTCTCTGAGGTCACTGTGGTTTCTGACTGTTTTACAGCCTGGCCTGCTCTCACACCATTGTGATAGCTTGTGGAGTGAGTTTTCTACACAAAGACTGCAGAAGAATATTGGTTGTATTTTTTGCTCTATTGGCTTTGAATTGAAAAGGTTCTTGGAGACTTATGCAAGTTTTGAATATGGTTTATGTATTGCTTAGTGGCTGAGAGATAAGGAGAGCCATTTCTAAATTATGTAATCAGTAATAAAAAGCTCTCCATAAAATCCTGAGCTTTTGTGGTATATGTTTGTTCTACCTGTATTTCAAAAGTAGTTTCTTAAGATGTGTCAAATTAGAAGTGTGAAGAAATAATTTAATTTAATTTTCAGAGTCCATGTTTTATTCTGTAGTGTGCAACATGCAAAATTAGGATCGTGTTTTTAGCTTTCATGTATCTTTGATGTCCCTGGTTCCTGTTCCTTTTCTCCCTCTAAATATATATGGAAATTACAAAAATAAGGTACTTCTAATACTACAGATGTATAGTATTGGCAATTAGTGGAGAATTTCCTTTATTAGTTTTAGCTTTTCTTGATCATGTTTCTAGTCACTAGTCTGCACAATGTAGACCAGCACAGTTAACAAGGTTGAAAATTCTGTTTCTGGATTTTCATGACACCATATTAGTCCAGTGAAGTAGTGAATTATAGATATTATATGTTAGTTTTGTGTAATATGAATGTATTAATTGGATTTGTGTGTCTTTTTTAAGCTTCCATTTAGATCACTGTGGGGCTTTGCCATGGTTTTTACAGAAAACAAGTTTTAAGGGAAGGACATTTATGACTCATGCCACAAAAGCTATTTACAGATGGCTTCTTTCAGACTATGTTAAAGTCAGGTAAGCTAACCTGTGAGCTGTCTCTTCCTGAATTATTTCACCTATTATTTCCCCTTCCAAGGGGAAACTTAAGGTGAAGCTGCCAAAAGTAGCTGGATGTTGTCATAAGTAGCAACATTACATATAACCAGATTAGAAGTAATGAATCATTTTACTAAATCATGGATAGTTTGTGGTGAATTTTAAGCTCCTAAAGATACAATTTACTCTTCAGGACAAGGACAGATCACATATTAAATATACAGGGTTCTGTTACTTACATGTTGGGGTTTTTTTCTCTCTCATGTTTTTTGTTTTCTTGTGTTTCATGCCTTGACACATGATTTCCATGTGAGTGCAGTGGGTTTGAGTGTATCTCAACTCAGCTGTTTTAAGCTTGGATCAGAAACCTGATGAACCTCTTTTAACTTGTTTCTTCTGGGCTGGTATGAAAAGCATGGATCCATGTGGTTTTTGAGGACTGTTACAAGCTAAATTGCAGATCTCTGCCCAGGGCTGGGAACTTTTTGAGAAATACAAAGGAGATTCTTAACTGAAAAGACTCTTCTGGCATGGCTTTTCAAAAGAAAGATACTTTAACTCTTCTTAAGTGAGCTACATTAGAGTAGCTGGGCTTGATTTCTAACATGGGAGACATGGTGTTACTGAATAGAAATCTGTCAGTGGGGAAAACACAGGAAGTTTTTTCCAGCTGTTCAGATGAGCTGGTGTTTAACCATTTCACTTGTGTGCAGTAACATCTCAGCAGATGACATGCTGTACACAGAAACAGACCTCGAAGAAAGCATGGACAAGATTGAGACCATCAACTTCCATGAAGTGAAAGAGGTGGCAGGAATCAAATTCTGGTGCTACCACGCAGGCCACGTTCTGGGAGCAGCCATGTTTATGATTGAAATAGCTGGTGTGAAGGTATTTTCTCTTTCTTAAAAGTTGAAATGAAGCCTGAGTACTAATGTAGTCATTAATTATTATTGTCTCTTATGCCTCACCACTGTGGCTGGAGCTGTCCAATGGAGTTGGACTCAGGTCAGGGGGAGAGGCCTTGGCTTAGGACATGTATTTTCTATTGATTAAAGCTGGCAAGTGACACAGATCAGGTAAGATGTTTGGATTGTGTGGGAGGCTGAGACATGACTCAGATTTAGTACCACTAAACTTGTAGCTTCCCTTGCTGGGCTGATCAGAGGCAGGTGGTAGCTGAGGCAGTTGTGTGGAAGCTGCATTTTAGTAAAATCTGTTTGTTTCTGTAATTCTCACTTACGTGTCTGCCTGTCTCAAGTTCTTAAATGGCATTTGTCCATGTATGTGAGTTACATTTTTACCATAACACTCCTGTGTTAAAGTACCTAAAGAAATAAGATTGTTATTAATTTTAGGCACAGAGGAATTAAGCAAATTGTATAATCACAGGCAGAACTCTGCCAAAGCCAGATACTTGAAACGGATCTCCTGAATTGGAGTTCAGCAGGACAATCACAGTCCAAGGAAAGTTTTACACAGCCCTGAAGCGGGAAGAGAGAAAGTGGTTCTGAGGCTTGCTGCCCAGTAGGAGTTGGTTCTTGATTTATAAAGATGGAGAATTATATGAGTTTTAACTTTTAAAAAATCCTAGAAATAGAACTGAGTTTACAATGATCACAAGAAAATTTAGATCTCTGTGCTTCTTTTTTTGATTTTTTTTCTGATTGAGGCATGATGAAGATTTCCCTCTTACTATGTATGACTCAAATAGATTGGGGTTTAATATCATTATTCTCATTAATTCCCTGTGATTGTAGGTAACCTGGCAGACCAGGTGTCTGCTGTCACTGACTGTATGTTATTTATTATTCACATTTTTATCAGTGGAATTATTGTTAAATAAAAACATGTCAATTTTGAAACCATCAATTTGGGTGCAGAGAGTTGCATTCCGCCCCGCAGTTTAGAATCCATTAAAAATAAATAACAATTAAAACTTACTTCTTGGTTTATTGGGGAACATGATTATTCCATTTGGAAAATCAATTATATTACAGGATTTTTTTTTAGTATCAGAAAATATTAGAAGAATTTTTAGTAAATAATTTTATTGGGTTATTCATTATATTTGTATTCTGGTATGTAAATGCAGTTTGATTTTTGATTTACTTCCTTGTAGGAGTTGCTGTATTTTATGTTATGTCTATTTTTACTTCTTTGTGGTCAGTGCAAGTATACAGAAGGCTGAAATGGCACCTTGATATCTGAAATGAAAAATAAGAGCTTAATAATTGTTTACCTGATTTTGTTGGAATGATGTTACTGCTTGAAAAACCTTTCCTATTGAAGTTTAAATACTTGTAGTACTGTTGACCTAAAATTGTAAGCACTGCTCACATAAGAAGTCTTATTTAAAGTACAGCTGACCTTTTTATCAGAAATTCATTAAAACCATCTTTGCACAGTCTTTTCAAGGCTGCTGACTGTTGAACCTGTAACCAGAACACCTGCTTCTCTTTGTCTCCAACAGCTGTTATATACAGGTGATTTCTCAAGGCAGGAAGACAGACACCTGATGGCAGCTGAGATTCCCAATATTAAACCTGACATTCTTATAATTGTAAGTTTTGCAAAATTATTTCTTTCTGTTAGTGATTATGAATTATGTTAGTGATCA